TGGCGTATGTGTGTTCATTATCGGGCCCTCAATGCCATCACAGTCAAGGATCGCTTCCCGCTGCCTATGGTGGATGAACTACTTGATGAATTGGGTCATGCTCAGTGTTTCTCGAAGCTTGATTTGACTTCCGGGTTCCATCAGATCCGCTTAAACCCAGAAGACACTCACAAAACTGCCTTTCGAACTCACGACAGACATTACGAGTATTGTGTCATGCCATTTGGGTTATGTAACGCCCCTGCCACATTCCAGTCCACCATGAATGACATCTTTCGCCCTTGGTTACGTCGATTTGTGATTGTTTTTTTCGACGACATATTAGTTTATAGTGCCTCTTTATCTGATCATATTGCCCATTTACAACAGGTTTTCTCTATATTATCAGAGCACAATTTTTTCTTGAAACCTCAGAAGTGCGAGTTTGGAAGAACTAAGATTGCTTATTTGGGTCATATTGTCTCTGATGGCAGTGTATCACCTGATCCATTAAAGATTTTAGCTGTGTTTGATTGGCCAGTTCCTACATCAGTTAAAGGGCTTCGTGGGTTTCTTGGGCTAACCGGGTTTTATTGGAAATTTGTGAAGGGTTATGCTTCAATTGCACTCTCTCTCACTGAGTTGCTTAAGAAGGATAATTTCCATTGGTCGTATGCAGCACAGGATGCCCTTGATGCATTGAAGAAGGCAATGACAGCAGCTCCGGTTCTAACATTGCCCAATTTTTCTGAACTGTTTCTTGTTCAAACCGATGCTTCAGGCATTGCTATGGGTGCGGTCCTTTTACAGGGAGGCCACCTCATTGCTTACTTCAGTAAGGTATTTTGTCCTCGGATGGCTCGTGCATCTGCTTATTTAACGGAGCTTCATGCTATTACCAGCGTCATCAAGCGTTTACGGCAATACCTCCTTGGCCATTTTTTTGTAATCCAAACAGACCAAAAGAGTTTGAAGGAATTAATGTCACAAGTGATCCAGACACCTGATCAGCAGCATTATTTGTCCAAGTTGTTGGGATATGATTACCAAATTCAATACAAACCGGGCAACACGAATATTGTGGCCGACACTTTATCTCGATCCCAATGTCCCGCTTCAGCCTCCTGTCTCATATTGACTGTTCCTCAGTTTATTTTCTTGGACGAATTAAATAAGGAGCTTCAGAGTGATTCCTCTTACATTGTCATGTTGGATAAATACGACATCAATCCTGCCTCCCCTACTGAGTACAAGAAAGTGGATGGTCTTTTATTGTACAAGGGAAGAATCTGGCTTCTTTCAAATTTTCGTTCTAAGGCAGCAATACTCCGAGAGTTTCAAGACACCAATACAGGGGGACATGCTGGCGTCGCTAAGACCTTGCAACGTCTTAGTGCCAATTTTTATTAGGACACAATGAGGAAGGATGTTCGTGACCATGTATCACAGTGTACTGTCTGCCAATAAACAAAATACCAAGCTATGAAACCCACAGGGCTTTTGACTCCTCTTCCTGTTCCGTCTAATGTGTGGGAAGATGTGTCTATGGATTTTATTACTTGTCTCCCTTCTTTATTTGGATACACTGTGATTTTGGTGGTAGTAGACTGGTTCATTTGGGTGCATTACCTACCCACTTCACTGCTTATAAGGTTGCCGAATTATTTGTTTCTATGGTTTGCAAGCTTCATGGCATTCCAAAAAGCATTGTGTCTGATAGGGACCCCATCTTTCTTAGCAGGTTTTGGACCAATTTATTCAAACTTAGTGGCACTAAACTCCGCATGAGTTCTTCCTACCATCCACAAACCGATGAACAAACGTAGGTGATGAACCGGACTATCGCGCAATATTTTAGGGCTTTCATTTTTCACAAGCCTTCTCTTTGGTACAAATTTTTACCCTGGGCAGAGTACCACTATAACACCTTAGTTCATTCCCGTTCTGGCCTATCCCCATATCAGGTTATTTACGGGAAGCCTCCTCCTTCTTTGCCTTCTTATGTTGTTGGGTAATCATCAATTGCAGCCATCGATGAGACATTGTCATCTCGTGAGGAGGTTCTTCGCCTGCTGCAACAGAAACTGCTCAAAGCACAGATTCGCATGAAAAAGTATGTGGATAAGCATCACAGAGACGTGACTCATGAAGTGGGATCTTGGGTGTATGTCAAGTTACAGCCCCATAAACAAACTTCTCTTTCCGGTTCCAAGTATCACAAGTTAGCCAAACGCTACTACGGTCCATACAAGGTTTTGATGCGCATTGGCCCTGTAGCTTATAAATTAGAGCTGCCTTCAAATGCCAAAATACATGATGTCTTCCATTGCTCCCGTCTGAAGCCACATGTCGGTCCTCCTCCAGCTGAGGTTGATCACCTTCCACCCACCTTCATAGGTAGTCACCCCCTCATCACTCTTCTAACTATTCTCGACTTCAAAACTGAGGACGTCAATAACACGCGAACCCGCTTTGCTTTGGTTCAGTGGCTGGGTCTGTCCCCTAGTGACACCTCTTAGGAAAATTGGGATGAGCTAAAATCCTTGTATAACCTTGAGGACAAGGTTGAATCTCATGAGGAGGGTATTGTTGCAGTAACCCCTTCAAGCAATACTATTATTAGCAGTGAGAGGCCCAAACGTGCGAGTCACAAGCCTATAGGGTGGGATGATTTTATTCACTATTAGTTAATGAGTTAGCGAAGTTCTAGAACCTGTCCTATTTGCGTACTGCACGTTTGTACCCATTAGGGAATATTGTAGAAGGGTTGGTTATTTATGATTGTAAGGACCATTTTGAAGGGAAACAAAAAATATTTTCTCTCCCTTACTCTTCTCTTTCTTAGGAGGTTTCTCTGTCCTCGAATACGGAGAGTACGCGGCTTCTCAATAATTTCTCAATTGAAAGAAGGGTACATTAAAGGAGATAGAACAAAGCATATTTCTCCAAAATTCTTTTTTACCCATGATCTTCAAAAGAATGGTAATATAAATATTCAACAAGTTCGTTCATGTGAGAATCTAGCAGATATTTTCACAAAGTCACTTCCAAGTAAAACTTTTGAACAACTAGTTCACAAGATTGGACTTTGTCGTCTTTGAAATGATTGTCCACATGAGGAGAATAATTAATATGCTCTGCACTCTTTTTTCCTTAGCTATGGTTTTTTTCCATTGGGTTTTCCTGGCAAGGTTTTTAATGAGGCAGCATATAATAGCATAAATAATAATGTATTTTTCTTAGGTTTTATCCCATTGAGTTTCTCCTAGTTAGATGTTATAAAACATATTCTCAAATAATGGACATTCAAGGAGAGTGTTATGAATTATTATATGAGTGAATGTCCATATTTATAATTCCTCCTTATTCTTTGTAACTTACGATTTTGTAACTGTTTTGTTTAATTCTCATTCAAAGAGATATAATTCTTCAGTTATAGTTTTAGGCCTATAAATAGGTGTCTCATTTGTATTGAGGAGATGTGAAATGAAATTGAAATTCTCTCTTCCTCTTCATATTTTTCTCTCTATTCTTTCTTACAATTTTACCTTCGTTTTATAACAATTTACTATATTTACTTGTATAGTAGAAATTACTTTCTACAGTTTGATTAAGATATAATTTATTACTTATTTGTATAATTTTATTAAGATAATATATATAAATATATATAAGTTAATAATGTTATTATATTTTATATGTTTTTAAAATTAAAATATTAAGTATTTTAGAATTAAAATTTAAATGGTCATGTGTAAATATTATATTATATTAATCAAATTAAATATTATATAAATAAATAATAAAAAATTAACGAGCTAATATCAGAGATATTGTATACAGTTTTTATTAAAATAGGAGTGTTGTTTGAAAAACAAAATTTAAAAAAAAAGCCATGCTAATATTAGAAGTTAGAATCTTCAGTTGAAATAAAATTGGATTTTAATTAAATATAATATTTTAAATATTGAACTCTAATTTAAATTATAAAAATTTCAAAACTTTTAAAATTAATTTTTTATTTTAATCCTGTTTAATATAATAAAAAATCATTAATAATAATTTTTTTCATTGTATTACTTCTTAAATTAAAAAATTGTGTGTATATATATATATATATATATCATATACATATATATTTAAAATAATTTAATAATTCTCGTGTAATCTATGAGAAATTCACTGTTTACATTTTAATTTTCATTCAACAAAAACAATATGAGTTGTAATTAAAAAATATATAAATAAATAGCTTCTTTTATGATATAGGGAAAGCTAATTGAATTAGTGGATTATTAATTTGGTATTCATTATGGTGTTGAATAAAAAATCTTTATTCACAAACATTAATATTTTCATTAAGATTGTATCGAATATTAAATTATTGCCATTTAAATTAGGATCTCTCTTGTTTGTATCTTTTCTAGTGCGTTCTCTTTCCACTGTGCTCTCATAAGAAATATTATCCACAAAAATACACCTTCACGTTGTCATGCTCTCACCTCCCCCACCATCAAGGAAGATTGCAATATCCTTTTAACATCTCAGTTATAAATGATTTTTTTTTAGTCTAGATGATATATATCTTTATAATCTGACTCATCTGCATGTTTGGTACTCAATTATAAATGAATCTTAATTTTAAAATCTATGATAAAAATTTATGTATAATATTTTTTTTTATAAAAAACTACCTAATCTAATACATTAAATAATATTTTAAAACACCAGTTAATGCATGTTTTATTTTATTTTATTTTTTGAAAAATGACATTTGAAAAAAACTTAGAACTTTGAAAATAGTATTTTCTAACATAATTTAATCTAAATGTTCTTTTTATTGTGTGTATCAAAAACATTTATTATATCTTAAAAAATTTAATCTCACAAAAAAATAAAAATAATATTTTATAAATTTGAGAGACTAAAAATAAAAAAATTTAAGAGGTAAATAATTGTAAAAAATAATATATTTGAAAAGATTAAAAAATTATTTAAGGTGAAAGAATGAAGAAGATGAGAAGGAAGGAGGAAACGACGACGTAGTGAAAGCGTGATAACTGCGAGCAAATAGGAGATTGCGACTGTGAACACTGAACTCAAGTTCGGAGCACAGTCCGAAGCTGTCAACGATGGCGATTTCCGGCGATCTTAGGGTCTCAGCGACTCTTCCCCTCTATCGCTCTCACTCTCAGTCGCCTCTACTTCGAACCTCTTCTTTCCCTTCCCCAAAGGTTTTGTTTTCTCTATCTCTCTCTTTCCCCCTTCTTTTCTCCCCGTTGCTTTTAATACTGTCTCAGAGGATGCATATATTCTCATTCAAAATCCGCTTATGCTGAATTCAACTCGTAATTACATGCAAACTGCAACATTTGAGGGTGCTGGAGTTCGATTAGGGTTTTCATTCAAAGTTGTGATATTTCTTACCGTTTCTAAAGTGTATTAGTGAGTATAGTGTCAACTATGAAGCAGTCAGAATGGAAACAAGGGGGAAAAGTGTTGCAATTGTACGATACGATAATGGCCTTGAAGATACAAATATGACTGTTTTATTTGAGTAGAGAAATCTTATTTTAGTGTACGCGTTTAGTGTCATTGGGAAATTGGCATGATATAATGCAGGGTCTAGCCTGTCTAGTAGAAAGTGAAACTCTGCTTTATAGTGTTTGGGCGTATATCGTGGTATACTACAGGTTTTTTTTTTTTTTTTTCAAATAATGAGTGGTTGGTTTAGGACTTTAGGTACATGTTTGATTTTCGTTAAACAAGGTCTGTGATTTGATGTTTGTGTATGGATGTCTTGACTTGTATTGGATTGATTCTTGTGAAGGATATCTATGGTCCTAGATCGAAAGACTATATTGGTGCTTTTCCAGATGATGGAAGTCCATGGGAATTGTTGAGTTATATGTTTTCCGCCTCTCTTTAGGATTAGTTGAATATAATAATAGATCTTATTAGGTTAATTTGATATGATAACCTGCATTCATGAATTGTAATTCCATTTCATGGCTCTCCAGATCAAAGCATAACAAGAGGGAATGACTATTTTTTCATTTGACTGGAAATATGTGTGATATATAGTTGATAAGTTACTTGCCTTATATACATTGGGTGTGTTTAGGTGAACAACTTGATTAAGCATGTATTCATTAAGATATTATCACATGAGAGTTTATAACATAAATTTGATCGTGAGGAATAAGCTATAAAAACAATTTATTTATATAAGTTATACTAAACAACTTTTTGAAATAAGTTAAAAAGAGATTATGAGGGTCATAAACTTCTCATAAGCTCTTTCAAACATCCCATTATAGAGTAGAATATATTTTTAGTTCTTTGCCATTTAGTTGGGATTTCAGTATGCTTAAAGGCGGTTTGGTACTGCCACTTCTGCTTTCTAATTTTTCAGTAGAATGGGGAAAGTTTCAATAAAATATTCTTTTGATTTATTTTATTGATGGATGTTTTTATTCAGATGCTTGTGGCTTAGCTTTGTGAGTGTTGCAGTCTTGATTTGTGCTCATGCCCATATATTATACAGATTTTGACAAGATTTTGAAAGCACTGAAAATGCCTTCTTGTTAATTTCTCAAATTTTCTCTCTAATAGGTAGATTTCCATCGTTTATTGACTGGAGCATCTAGCATGTCCGAATTCACCCGGAAATGTCCCTGCCTGATGATTGTACGATGCAATATGCGTGGGTATTGCAAGCCAGTTACTGGGGTCCTTGGAGGTCCTAATTTTTCATCAAATAAAGTTAGCCGAGAAGCTGAGAATTTTCTCCTTGATGCTGTTAACATGAACTTATTTGAGCGTTTAAATTTGGCTTGGAAGATAATATTCCCATCAGCGACATCCAGAAAAAACTCCAATGCTAGGATTGCCAAGCAACGCTTGAAGATGATTTTGTTCTCTGATCGGTGTGCAGTAAGTGATGAGGCAAAGCGAAAAATTGTTAGCAATGTTGTGCGTGCTCTATCAGATTTTGTGGAAATAGAATCACAGGATAAAGTTCAGTTGAGTGTCTCTGCTGATACAGATCTTGGAACTATTTACTCTGTCACAGTGCCTGTTCGGCGGGTTAAGCCAGAATATCAAGATATGGATGAAATAGGGACAATAACAAATGTTGAGTATAAGGACACTGGAGAGAGTTCTGGTTCTGTTGATGTTAGATTTGATTTCTATGTTCCTGATGAATAGTTTTGATTTTGAATTGAAAGTTCTTGAATCTTGATTTCTTTGTCAAAAGTTAATGTTTGAAACTCTTGCCAGTGAAGTCAATTCGGAGTGCTGTAAATATTTGAAAATTGAAGCTTACATTAGGGTGACACTAGATTTTGATGAGAAATTTTGTTTTTGTACTACCTTTGTTAGTTTGGTTTGTTGCATCGCATGACTAAAAACGGTATGGTGTCTGTTCTTACTTCTTGGCATTTATGATATGCTTTTGCTGTTCGAGTGTAAGAATCATTGTTATTAATGGAGTCGGTGGTTGGGTTTCATTAGCCCACAAAAGAGCTGATATAGTTTAGTACTTTAAGCTGTACCAGACAAGTTAAACCAAAATCATCCCTTCTCCTTACCTAGTTGCATGTAACTTTGATTTAGACATGTAACATGGTTTGTGGTCAGTTAAGACATGTCCCTTGAAGCATATATATATATATATATATATATATATATATATATATATATATATCTGTGTGTGTATGTTGTTTTTTTTTAAAAAAAAAATCTGTACTTCCCAACAATTTGGACGTGCGTCTTATAACTTATTTTGCTCTGATGTAATTACTTCCCTTTTATAATGGATTATGATTTTGTTTCAATGCAAATTCCAAAAGGTAACCAGATCTTAACTTAGGAGATAATTGCTCGATTTTCAAAAATTCTTGAGTGGTAAAAATTAAGCGATTAATTTTTAAACTTACGTTGAATTAATCATTCATTAATTCTAACATTAAAATATACAGAATCTGGTTCCTTAGCATTGGCCGAAAAGGAGGAAAAAAAAAACAAAAATACATGTTGAACAAATACAGTACTTAAGAAACAAAAAAAATAATGTTTCCAATTCAACACGTTAATTTCACCATTGACAAAAAAAAAACAAAAACTAAAAGCTCTTGTTCATTGTTAGTTATATATCCTGCAAATTGCTTCCTTCAATTTTCAAAACTACCTTCTAGCATCAAAATTTTTCCATTTTTAAAACTGCAATACAATTTAAAAAATTAATATCCGGGGATTGAACCCGACGTGAATCGAACACGCAACCTTCTGATCTGGAGTCAGACGCGCTACCATTGCGCCACGGATCCACTGGATGGTACAACTTTTAACATTTATTTAATTGTAAGCTATAAGCAGTTGTGCGCGGGAGCATCTACTTCACTGGGTTCAAATTTGAGTTCCTCCATAGGCAGTAGGCAACAACAGATTTGATTGAAGATGAAGGGGAATTGGTTGGAATTGGAGTTGGAGAAGGGAATTGGGGACGCCATTTCTAGAACACGATTCGCTCCTCACTCTAACAACCTCCTCATTTCTTCGTGGGATTCTGTGAGTCTTTTTTTCTTTTTTCTTTCTTTCTTTTTCGCATTTACTGAATTTTATTGCCAAACAGAGTCTTCGACTTTACGACGTTGACGCTTCCCTCCTCAGACTCGAAGCTCCTTCGCAAGCTCCCCTTCTCGATTGTTGCTTCCAGGACGACGCCGTTGCTTTCACTGCCGCTTCTGATGGACGAATCCGAAGGTTTTCTTTTTTCCTTTTACTTGTTTATTTTAATCTTTTGACCAAGTGTAACTGTGCAACTCTCATTTCATTATAGACAAAAAAATCTAGCCAATGATGGAGTCTGAATTTTCAAAGCAGCTACGTTCTTAAAAAAATTAAGAAATCACTCGGAGCTCTCGTCAATTTCACTTCAAACTCACTTATGGATGAAACTAACAGTACTTCAATTTATTTATTGGACTTTAACCTCACACATGATTATGGTATGCTTAAATTGATAAAAAAAACTGTAAGAATTGTATCAATATGAACGGGATAAAAATGAACCAAACTGGAATAAATATTTAACAACTTTTTAAATAATGCAAGATCTTTATAATCTTGTGTATTAAATTTCTCATAATTTTAAACATTCACAGGTATACTATCCAAAATTTGATATTTATATAACTTGGGAGGTATCATTTGTTTTCTGTTTCATCAATATTGATCTAACAATTTACACATTTTAATTTTAATTTTATCTTAAAGGTTTTTCTAAGATCGTATAAACAACGTGAATAGCTTTGGGTACTTAAATCCCAATTAAGTATATTCATATAAATTTAGTGGATTCTTTATCTTCTACCTCCGAATTCTTTCAACTTCTTGCCGTGTTCAAAGTTTTGTAGTCTTATAAGTTTGTACTTATTTTGCCTAATTATTGTATATTGGTTGCTCCACTTTATCTTCCTCGGCATTCACCGGTACACCTGGATTCTCTTGAGGAGTTATATATAGATGCTTTCTTTTCATTTTTGGTTTTCCTTTATTGTTGTACCTCTCTTAATTAATGAACACTTAGTTGTGTTACTTCATCTTTTTTAGCATTTGGCTGAAGCTAATCGTTCTACTTATGGTTCCTTTATATTTTGTTGCCCATTTCTTAATTAATGTACATTTGATTGCTTCGATTCTCTTGAAAAGTTGTGAGTTGAAGAAATGGTTAGAAGTAGGCAATGGTAGAAGAAGCAACAAAGGAGACACATGAATTTTTGCATCAAGCGATAGATAAGGCGATGTTAGTTAAAAATGAACTAAACTCATGAAAATGCTCTGCACATGGATAATCACTTAATTTCCGTACAAAATTATAGACTCTATAAAATTATACTTCATTTATGCAATAAGATTTACTTGAACATTATCGATTTTCAATTAGTTTCCCATTTCCTTATGTAAATGTTGAACTGAATCGAATAGATTTCTTTCAACATTCTTCTATACAGTTAATAATGAATGTATTTAGTAATAATAAAAAAAAATTGAAAATATCTATTTGAAAATAAAAGAAAGTATTCAAACTTTTGTTGATAGATTAAATATATTTTTGATACTTTTTTTCTTGCAAATATTTCTATCCATTCCCTTATAAAAGATAGACACAAGATTTTCATCATCGGTTACGCCAAGAGTTATGTAAGCTTGGAAATTGCTTTACAGCAAACATTTGTAAAAAAAAAATTAATATATCTATATCTGCTTCCCCTCTTGTTAGGCATTGGACAAAAATATTTGCAAAAAACAATATACCAAAACTATGATCAATTTATCAACAAATTTTAGTTTATACTTTCTTTCATTTTATAATAATTTTTTTCTCTTTTTTATTATTAATGAATGTAAATTTTATTAAATATGTAGGGGAATGCTCAAAGACATCTATATGATCGAGTTCAAGATTAGTTGTAACGATGAAAAATCAGTCAAAACTATGTTATGTTTAAGTAAATCTTGTATGGAATGATGTGAGTTGACTTTGTAACTGTCATAATTTTGTAGACAAATTGAGTTATAGCTCTTTATTTATTGAATTAGTTAATGTTACAATCTAAACAAAGAGAGAGAAGGAAGTGGATTGCGTCCTTGTGTTATACTTTTAGAGAAAGGAATCATTGTGCTGATATTCTTGCCAAAAAGGGTGCTCAACAAGTTTTGGTTCTCTTAGAAGTGCTTCCTCCGAATCTCTCTGTTATACTTTCAGCAGATAGTTCTAGTGTTCTGTTTGTTTGTCCTTAACCTTTTCTTAGTTTTTCTTGTACCCAAAAAAACGAAGAGAGAGAACAGTAGAAATTAGTTCAAAGAGATTTGGTGCAACATTTCACGAGTTTATTCCTTTCCGACCAATGTTGCCTTATCTGCCCCCGATGTGAAACTACATGTGTTACCTTCGTTGCCTCTTTTGTTGCCACTTCCTTTTAACTATTCTCCTCACTCACAACTTCTCAGAAGAATTCAGGCTTACAGCCATATGCTGAGGAAGATGAAGTGGAGAGTTAAATGTACATCAATTAGGAGAGGTGTAACAAAATGAAGAGGAACCAGAAGTGGAAAGGGAGCATTTGTGCATAAGGAGAATTCAAGTGTATAACCAAGTGCTAAGGAAGTTAAAGTGAGCAACCAAATATACATCAAGTAGAAGATGTGGAACCAAATTTGTAGAGCAAACAAGTCAAAAATTTTATACTCTTATAAGACTACAAAACTATGAATATGGCAAAGAACTAAAGAGGTTGAAAGAGCTCAGAGGCAGCAGATAGAGAATGTAAGTATCTACTAAATTTATATGCATACACCTTGATGAAAATAAAATTGCAAAACAATGTAAACAGCTTTTTTAACTTCACCTTTTTGCATGCTGGACGATAGAGTAGATAAATTGAGCAAAAGTCTGAAGCACCTTATGACAAAAATGGTAATGGAACCAAGAGATAAGATCATGAAGTAACCTATCCCAGTTCCAACTGCAAACGTAATAGTTGTATTTGTTAAAAAAGGCGATTGTCTTGTAGTAGATGGATTTGAAAACTATTGGGGGCAAGTGTGAATGGCGACAGAAAATGGGAAATCGGGTATTGTGAACATCAACAGTTTAAATTATCTGACTTAATTGATAAGCATATGATCCATATATCATCTTGTAGTTTGCTAGCATTCATGATATTCGTGTTATTGCTGTGGTGGCCTCTGAAAACAGGCTGTGATATCCTTTGTTTTGCATATGCCATATGATATGATGATGTGTATTTCACATTAATTTTCAACTTTCAAGTGGACTTTTGACTCTTAAACTAAACTTTATAGGTATGACTTGCATTTAGGACTTATTGATACAGTGGGTAGCCATGATGATATAGCAACATGTATTGGATATTCCAATGAAACGTGTAAGCTACTAATACCTATCTATTTCTGTTAATAATTGTTACTTCTAATCATTTTTCAATTAATGGGTTGATATTGAAGGGAATATCAACATTGATTTGCAATCCTTTGCTCTTCCTTCCTACCACGCTCGCTTATCCACACGAGATAAATGTTTCTCTACATGTTTATGTGTTGAAGAATCCAAGGATGGGTAACTTAATACATGTTAGATCTTACTAGTTATGCTCTGATACAATCCCTTGGTGTATTGAGGAATGCTAACAACATATTGTCTAAACACTTTTTTTAACAAAGTCTTAATTATTGGCTAAAATTTATGAAAAATTACAAAAATTACGTGAATTTCATTCTTTCTCATTCCTAATTTAATGTTTTTATCTCATACTTTTGTAGTTTTTAACAAATTTTAGTCAATAGTTAGAAGTGTATTATAAAGAGTATTTTGCTAATATTCCTATTATGTTCAAAGCTGCAAAAATTAAATGGTCACCTCTCTAGTTCTGCAACAAATTTTTAAGCATAAGCCTTTGACCATTTCTCTCAAGCCTTGAGAAGTTATTTAACCGTTTAAATAAATAATTTTTCTATGGGGAATCCAAGATGCTGTTATGATGGTGAGAAATAAAATAAAAAGTAAAACTGCAGTTTAGAAGCATTAGATTTTTTTTTTTCTTGAAAAGCGCTTCAACTGTCCGCCATTGCTCAAATGTAATCTAATTGTATTGTACTAATGCTAGATTTTTTCATTTGTAATTTAAATTACATATCCTTAATTCTGGTGATGTTTAATTCTAAGTTTCATCATATTCTTAGAAATAAATATGTTGATATTTATGCTTGGCCTTGGTTATAGCAGGTCAGTTGATCACATCTGGATTTGACAAGAAGCTATTGTTGTGGGATATCCATATGAAGAAGGCTTCTTCGTGCTTGAGAAATCTAGATGCGGAGGTGGATTCCATGTGTGTCTGTGGATTTAATCTTACTGTAGCCATTGGAGCTTCAGTGCATGTTTATGATTTACGTAACTTTGACAAACCAGTTCAGTTAAAGGAGGCATGCAATGGCACGCAATTAAGATGCGTCAGTTCAGTTCCTTATGCAGAAGGTATGAGCCACATTGTCTTTGTTTATTTTGTCAACTGAAGGATGTGTTGCTTTGACAGATTGGTTAGTTAGAGCATTTTTATCCTTGCAACTAGAGAAGGAGTACATCTTTATCCTTTAGGTCCCACTTTAAGCAACTTTCACTAAAATTGCACTTGATGTGCCTCCTAAACGCTTTGCTAATGATACTGGTGCTCTTCTTTCTGATCCACTCTGAGAACCGTTACAAGTCTCACATTATTTGTTGCTTGGTTTTCCGGATAACATAAATATTTCAAATTTAAAATTACTGAAGCATTTGTTTATAGGCAATCTGTCTGAAATCAGAGTTTAGGAAAATTTTAAGATTGATGTCCTTGCAGGATTTGCAGTTGGGTCTGTAGATGGAAGAGTAGCATTGCGGATTTCCTTTTCATCCAGTAATGACATTGGGTCAGTTTTAGATGATCATTTCATATATGGATTTTTTAAAATTCTGATAACATTACATTTGCCTTTCCTCTAGAATTAGATATCAGCCTAACAGATGCCCTAACCTATCTAACTATTTATTGTTTGATTTAGATGCTAATGTTTTATGTTGGAAATCGTTTGAATTATCAGATTGTTGTTAATGACAGCCCAGGTTCTAACTATTTGCTTTTGTTATATTAAATCCTGACAGATATGTATTCAGATGTCATCCAAAATCAAAAGATGGGCGCCATTATTTGGTATCAGTGAATGACATCGCATTCAGTCCACTGTAGGTCCTGCATTTTTATTTATAGATTACCATAACTAATTATAAAACTTTAAACTTAATATGATTTCTGTTTAGTGTATCTGGTGCTTTTGTCACTGGTGACAATGAAGGCTATGTTACCATATGGGATGCCGGAAGTAGGAAAAGACTAGTTGAGGTATTTGCCTAATTAGTTTCGTAATTGTGTCTAATCCTTACGATGTTTGTGAATTGTGACCAGTTCATTAATTTTCTTGCTTTACTATACCATCTTTTCTCGATTTCAGTTGCCCAAGTACCCAAATAGTGTTGCATCCTTATCTTACAACCACGTAGGACAGTTTCTGGCTGTAGCATCAAGCTATACTTACCAAGAAGCAAATGAAATGTGAGTAATTCTTTTCATATTCGTCTTTAGTTCATTTCTTCTATATTAATTGTAGAACCTGATATTCTGTTTCCAATTTTTACCATTGGCATTGCATTTTTATATTCTTGCCTCTAAATCATAAAGGTGTTTCATATTATTTCTTTTAAGTTTTTTAGTGTATAAATACCCCTTGATCATATCTTTAGTATCATCAGCCAATGTATGATTAAGGACTTGAAAGTCTGAGCTGCTAAATTTAATATTTTATTAAAATTTATGGTAATTGCAACACCTGAATCATTTGCTCATTTTATGCTCCTGATTGTTGGAATCATTTACTAATCATATCTCATCATTTATGTTTTTATGAATCATGAAGTTTCTTTGGCCATGGTTATTTATAGTATGTAGATTTTATTAAATTTCAAATATAAACCTTGGTCTTTGTACATTTTAATTTCCATTAACGTTATGAGAACCCGTCGTATCACTACACTTGAACCAACAAAGGCCTTGCTAGCTTTAAAGGAATGTTGCATCTTAAATGACTTAATTAAAACAGTTTGGCAAGAGACAAAACTATGCCTTGCTAGCTGAAGCTAAGCATGGAAGTGTGCTTTTGAGGCTTTATTTTATTCATTTGATTATTTCGTATTTGTTATTGATAGAGAGGAACCACCTCGTGTATTCATCCATAAAGTGGACAGCTTTGATATCGGATCAACTTCTGCTGGTGGGAAAAGTTAAAGCATTTATGCTATCCTTGCCATTTGCCAAGGAAGGTAAATGGTTAATCTTAGCTATTTATTCTTGTAACGAAGATTTCTGGGGTTCTACTTCAGCATGTCTCATCGTTAGTTATGTTTTTTAGATTTTGTATTTGGGTTTAGTTTAATGGCTTTCTGTATCTTGGATGGGACACCATTTTTTCTAATTTTTTTAATTTAAAAATCTTAAAATTTTAATTTAGTGAAATTTAATTTTTAACTGTAGTGATTATATCAACTTGAACATAATTGCATCGGGTTGAAGATATATGGTCTATAAACAATGTATCTTTATTTTTAAAATTCAATTGAAATATACTACTAATGTAAGTATTCTTTTTATATTATCTCACTGTATATTTACATATCATTTAAAATCGTTGATTTATGTGATACATAACTTTAAAGGTCATTTATAGTAATTTTTAATTGATTAATGTAAAAATTATTATACTAATAACTGTATTATTTTTTTTGAAGGTGAACAAGTACATTAAAATTAAATGTGAATAATTAAAATATTAAAATATACAAATTTTTAAACTCATTTGTTACTAATTAGTAACAGACTAATTATGGAAGAATCATTTGTACATTTTAAAACGTTGAACAAAATACATACTCAAACGTTAGATACAAATGACAAGAAAAGCGTTAGAGATTGAGCATGTGTCCCGAAATTTCTGGTAGATTTTAGATTTTCGGATTTATTTTTAAGTTTAAAATTATAAAATCAATTTTCACATTTTTTAAATGTTTTAATACAAATATATGATTAAAATTATATATATATATATATATATATATATACACACACACACACAACTGCGTCATATTTAATAATTTAAAAATATTATTTGACTTTAACATAAATGAGTACAGAAAATGGTTTGATCCATACTTTATAAACGTAAAGTAACTAATTATCAAGAGAATCTTTTATGTTTTTTGACAAATAGATAAATTTCTATTTTAGTTGATAGAATCTGGGAACTGTGATTAATTTGGCAATGAAGAAAAAGTAAAGTAACGAACGCTAAAGTGCTTGTCCACGTGGTGGTGTGTTGTTGTAGCGTTCTAAGAACGCAAATTCAACACTGCACTGATTGATTGACCGCTTTTTTAAAAATAAATAAATAAAATAAAGAAAAACATGAATTTCAAATCAAATAGAGGAGACGTGTATATTATAAATGTATTTAGTATTTGTAAAAGATTCCTAGAAATATTTTTATAAATATATTTTTTTTATTTTCATAATAAATTTCGATTATCACTGCTTTTATATAAATCTTTTACTAAAAAAAGTATAATTAAAAAATTCATTTAAAAAAAAGTTATTATGAATATTTTTAAAACTTAAAATTATTAAAAAGTAAAAGAAATTATCAAATGTTCTTAAAAAAAACACTAAATTTAATCAATAGCATTTTATACTTCAAAGTCAAACTAAGCTTACGGTGGATAAAAACGCTAAGATTTAAATGTTTTTTATTCATATATTTTATGATATTCTAATTCTTGTTTTTCAATTTTTTTAATTGGATACTTTTAATGTTTAACAATGACATGACTGACTAAAATTATGTCATTTATCGTTTTTGTTTTATTATGTTATCACTACGGATTAAAAGCGTTAAATTTATTCTATAAAAAAAACTTTAAATTTACAAAATATTTTAATTTTTTAAAAATATTCTCTTTGTTATTTATATCGCATGTGAATCAACTGTTTTTCGGATGGTGATTTTATTTTTCCCATGGCTAAAGATATATTTGTTTAAACATGATTATAAATAAAAATAAATACTTTAATTATATGTTAAAAATTATTGAAAATTATAAGTGTATAAATAAAAATGATTAGTTCTATATGTTTTTTGAAAAAAAAAACTTTTGAGTCTTATTGAATTTCTTATCTTAAAAAAAACACACACGCTACTTGTCTTTTTTATTTAAATTATTCATAAATATCATTTTATTAATTTTAACTTTAATCTTTTAATTTATATTTCATATATTTTACTTAAATTAAGTATGCGTACACTTTTATAATTTTTAAGAATGTCTTATGTGTGTGTGTATATATATATATATATATATATATTGTAATTTTTACACTTTTTTGAGTTTAAAAAAACTCATTCAAATCCATAAAATAATAAATTTCTTTTGATTTATAAATATATATTATTTGTATTTACCTTTTTAATATATTTAATGAGGCTTAGAAGCCTAAAAATACAAAAAAAGAAAAGAAAAGAAAAGAAAAAAAAATAGATAACTGTATTTATTCCCGTGCATATCCAAGTCTATGTAAAATTTATTTCTTTTAATTCAATTTAAACCCCTAATTTTATTACTTTTATGCTAGAATAGTTGTTTTTTAGTTATAAAAATTTGATTGGTATTCGATTACAATTATTTTATTATTGAAATATGTTGCCTTTTTTTTCATCCAAGCATTATGATTATTTTTATTTTAATAGTGAAAGAGCTTTTTAATACACGAGATAACAAAAATAAATATTGATTATATATGGACAATTTAGATTAAAGGTTATTTAATAATCACATAATTATTTTAAAATTCTAATAATTTTATATTTTAATTTTAATAATTTCTTGTTAAATTAAATGATCTAGATTCACATGTCTCGTTCTTAGTTAAAATAATTTTTTATTTGATATGTTGTTAGTATATAAGCAACGTAGTTAATGAGATGAACAAATTTTGATAATATAATTATACATAAATAATTTTAAAATTTAAAATTATTTAATAATTACATAATTATTTTAAAATAGCACGTTATGCTTAAGTTTCTCTCACACATATAGGATATATCAAGTGAGATAATTCTTTTTTATGAGGCCATACACATTTTTATGAAAAATAATGGATAGTGTTTAAAAAATATATAACTACTAAATGATGTAGTAATAATTATTCGAAGACGTGTAATTTTTGGAGATTAAAACTAGTTATAATTTTATGCTTTAGTATTTATCTATGCATAGATTATAAATGTTCTACTCTGCTGTGTGTCTATAAGAGAAAACAAAAAGTATAACAAACATCATGATGTGTGTGCTGAAGCATAACGATGTCGGACGAGGAACACCACTTCGAGTCAAAGGCTGATGCCGGGGCATCAAAGACATTTCCCCAGCAAGCTGGAACCATCCGCAAAAACGGTTACATTGTCATCAAGAACAGGCCATGCAAGGTTTCTTTTTCTTATTCCTTCTAAAAATTTTGGACTTTTGATCGTGATTGCACTAAATTTTATTCAAAGATTTCTTTTTTATAATCAAATTGTAACGATTGATATTATTAATCAAACCCCTTTTTTTCTTTTTGATGAATATGAATTTCATGTGATTAATCAAACCGTTCCCTCTCAATGGCTCTCCCATATTTTGGGGGGAATTTGTTTTTGAATATCCAAGTCAAAGTTTTCTTTTTGATTTTTGGGTTTGTGTTTGTCGGACAGGTTGTGGAGGTTTCAACTTCCAAAACTGGCAAGCATGGACATGCAAAGTGTCACTTTGTTGGTATTGACATCTTCACTGGCAAAAAGCTTGAAGATATTGTCCCATCTTCCCATAACTGTGATGTATGAGTGTGTTTTGGATTGGGTTTTGCTTTATCAATTAGGTCACATATGTTTATTTTATGTATGTTTTGTGGTTACAACAGGTTCCTCATGTCAATCGCACTGACTACCAGCTCATAGATATCTCAGAGGATGGATTTGTAAGATTTCAATTAAATTTTCTTCCTTCACTCATTCTTTTTCTTTATTTTCCTAGAGTGGAGTTTAAGGCACACCTAATATTGATACTCAAAAGTGATTAGATGTGATATAAAGTAATGCTATTTTGTTAGGATAAATGGTTATTTACATTCTTTTCTTTAGATGCATGTGGGGTTTAATTTATTTTATGGTCTTTTTCCAGTTCTTTTATAGAAATTTTGAAAAAAAAAAAAAAAAAAACTTTAACAAAGGAATCAGACACGTACCAAATGATTGAAGCAGCCAGATAAATATTTAATGAGTTTGCAGTTAGTAAGAATACATGATCCATATTTAATCTTAAGCCTTAAACTGTGTGGTGTCGTTTCTCACATTCTCCCCTGATATGGTATTGTTAATATAGTTTGACACTTGGTTAACAATGGCTGTTATGCTGTTCCTTACAAGTAAGGTAGTATGATTCTTGTCATAATTAAAGGTGAACTAAGGATATTTTCTATTGAATATTAGGTGAGTCTGCTGACTGAGACTGGTGGTACTAAGGATGACCTGAGGCTTCCAACCGATGAAAATCTGCTTTCGCAGGTTAGTTGATTGATTGTTTGATACCCTCTTTGCATAACGTGGAATTGTTGTAGATTATGAATATTTGATGTTGGCATCGTTTGTCTAATGATTTTGTTAACTTATGGCTAGTTAAGCTCAGTAATGAGACCAGCATGGTATTGGTAATCTTGTTAATCTTGTAATTTGCTCCATCTACTGATTTCGGTTTGTGTCAAGCAGATCAAGGTAAAGATCTGGTTGTCACTGTTATGTCTTCCATGGGTGAGGAGCAGATTTGTGCCCTTAAGGACATTGGCCCCAAGTGATAGACTTTGTCAATTGAATGATGGAAAGCAGAAGTTAGAACTGATACCCCACCTTTATGTGTTTGTACCAAATCAGCCAATGTTTGTATCATTTTTATTGGATGTGCTTGAAATTGGATGGTTTTATTTGGGAGTCCTTGACCTATATTTGGTTGTGTTGAATCAATACCAGAACAATTAAACTGTTACGTGGTGTGAAGTTACATTGGCTACTGCCAAGTAATAATATTTATACGCTTGTCAGACCCTTTAACCTTTCTAATATAATTTACTTCATTTTAATGTTCTTAGAGTATGTGTGGATCAACACTTGTAAATTTGAGTTTAAATAAATTTAATTATGTAAAATTAATTATATTTAAAAATTAGTTTAAAGTGATGTGATTTATTTTTAGAAACTTTTCTCTTTAAAGTAGGTTAGTAGTAAAACTTAATCTAAATTATTTATTACCAACAACAACTAAGTTTTATCTCAAGATAAGGTCCGTTAATTTAAATTATTTAAGACAAAAATTATAATTTATTATATTAATTTAAATGTGAATTTAATTTATTTTGTAAAACTATACTATAATGAAAAGTTTGTAAATAATAACAACTAAGTCTTATTCTATTAAATGAGATTTATTAATCTAAATTATTTAACATAATACAAAAACTGTAATTTATCATGTTATTTTTAACGTGAAGTTAAGAGTAATCAAACATCAAAATTTTTTGAAAAAATATATTATAATGAAAAAAAAATTAAAGTAGATCCAAAGATGTTGTTAGTAACAACTTAAATTTATGAATTGTTCAAGGAAAAAGAAAATTCTGATCCAGAAATTGTGTTCACTGTTAATGTATAATTCTATAATCTGATAATGGCCTAGATCAAATACCAGCTCCTTCGATCGAGAGATCATGCATAGATTAAAAGTGCAAACTGTCAACCACATCTTTTTGGTTGTCTAGAAACAACATTTCATTGAATGAGCTGTTGAAGGCAATAATTGTGAGTGGATTGCATTTCCACTATGAATTCTAATATTCTCTCATAACTTTTAAAAATTTACAAGCGTGTACATCTACTGTGTTCCTTCTTCCAACTCAATTAATGGCATCAGGTTAAAAAGGAAGCATATTTAGCTAGGGTGCTCAATGAACAAGTCTTGAAATCTGAATTTCAACCTCAACTCGTGTTGCAGAACATAAACACTTAGTGTGTTTGGATTCACATTTGATGGGCTACATATATACATTTATTTCATTGTTATTAAGTGCACTAATGTGATTTTTAAGCATGTTCAAACGCGATCACAAACATATAGGGCTATTACTGTGTTTGCTCACATCAAAAGCAAGACAACTTCACTACTCCCTCATTAATGCTATGTTTGGTGATATGAATCAATCCAGTGCAGCTTATTTATCACAAGAGAACCCTTTAGGATATTAAAAGCGCTTTTAGATAATTTGTAATACAAAAACTCGGTAAAAGTAGCTCCAACTAAAAATTACAAAACATCCTTGCCAACTTCTGGAAGTAACAATGAGAAAAGCTGAAAATATCAAAGTAGATAAACAAAACTTACATGCCCAAAAACTAGTACAAAATTTTACAGTTGTACATCCAGGTAGAATCCAAGTCATGAGTAAATAACGTGGACAAAATTTTACAGTTGCACTAATGGAAAATGTCAAATGATCATAAGTAATTCATTTAGCTATCAATCTTTATTTTATGAAGGTCACTGCAATTTAAATTTTTGAGTTGTTTCTGAAAGACACGACTGTAATTGTTAGTACAACTAACTCTCACATTCATGAAGTATTCAAAAAGTACTATTTGCTGTTGATGATTGGGAACTGTGGAGAAGATTTAGTAATGCCATATTTATCTCATGGATCGAACAACTGTCCCAAGCCAATCATCAGGGATGCTGCTTCCCAGATCTCCATTTAAGGCCCTTAATGAGTGGCTTGTTGCTGCCTGAAATGCAGCTACGACTTTCAACATTAGGAGCTCTAAGGTATAACACAGATAAAATATAAAAAAAAAAAAAAAAAATTACTTTTACAATGTAGACATCAATTCCAAGTTTTGCTATCATTGCAGCTTCCGAGATCTTTGTTTTCATCCCACCAGTTGTGTCATGAGCTGCAACAGTTAGCTCAACTGTAGAAAAAACAGCCACAAAATTCAATCTATACATTCAAATCACATATCCAGAGCAAGCATGCACATCAAATTAGAATTAGTAATTTAACAACAAATGCCTACATAAAAGCTTCTATTCTAGAATTTTTTAATTATGGTGTCAGGGAAATAGCAAAATATAAGGAAAATTTGTGCCCTAACTCATGATGAGTTGGCTACCATATTGTGATAACTTATGGTTTATGAGTGAGAATAAAATATCATGAAATCTTCTAGTTGAACTTCAGCTATACAGCTTCATGCTACTGAGACAATAGATTCAGACTCCATTCCAACAAAACTCTTTACCAATCAGGACACTGCACTGAGAACTATGCTCATTTCAGCTCTCTCTAGGCCCACCAAAAAGGAAGAATAACTAAAAGAGCGTTTGGAAACACATTGGAAAACTTGTAATTGTAGATCCAATGCAGAAGCTACAACTAGTAGTACTGAAGTAAATGTAAATCCAAACACACACCAAGTTATTGTGAAACGTGAATATCTAAAAGGTTCTCATAGAAATGTTACTGGACTAATAATTTCAGAACATGTTCCACTGGAAAAAATATGAGACCAAATAGTAGAGGAGAAAGCAAACTGTATAATAATTCCTTATTCTGCTTACTTGAGGTTTGCAACTTTGGTTTTACAACTGACCAGCTTCCATCCTCAGCAACAGCTGTCATAATTGAAAATGTCAAGTAACAACCAACCTTGAAGAGAAGAGTCATATGGAAGATCAAGTTTAGAACAAGTGCTCACCAATTTCCTTTAAGAGTATTGCATTTGGTTCCATCGGTGGGCGATCATACACCCCATACACGTCTGTCTTTCAGCCATGCTTAATGGAAAACATAAATGTAATGTCTCCTAAAATTTCAGATTTATAATTGTGATACGCTGTTCCAAGATAATTGAAAATTTTGTTTTTGCATATCAATACAACTCTTTTAACAGCAAAATGCATGTTTGCTACAGATTGAACCCAAAAAAAAAATGCCATTCTCCAAGTTTCAAGGCACTTCTATATGCAGCAAGAAAAATGAGGTTGAAACCGACATTTGGATTATTAAAAACGTGGCTAGTTAAAGAAAAATGAGAAGTTGGGGTTATTATCAATAATTCAATATATTTGTGGTATTCATCACTTGAAGGGATATACTGACTAGGAGAGCATTTGGTTTGGTATGCTCAGAAAGAGCTTTATATTTGTAGCAATTCAAGAATAAAAAAAGGTACACATGATATACTGAGGATACCAGGAAAACTACATATTTAGGCTTTGAGTATGCAGCCAAATGACTTATGATAACATCTCCACTCAAAATAGTACATCCTTGAATTTCATCAAATACTGCATCTCCATGCAGAACCTAGACAAATGGCATTGAACCCCTCATTACTCAAGGTAAAGAAAAAATAGAATAAAAGAAAAACCAGTTACAGGATTTGGAACCTTCAACGGAAAGGTCAAAGGAAAAAAAATGTGTGTAGTTTCATAACTTCTATATTAAGACTTTATAGAAAGAAAAAACTACTTTTCTTCTATTTCATTTGCAGCTGTATAATCTTATTCCATTAGCTTTAGACAATGCAAAAAGAATAATTTAGTGCTCAAGCAAAGAGAGTATAATTAGGATCGTTCAGATGGAACTACCCTAGTACCCTGAACCCCAGCCAGCCATGTATTTATTAATTAGTGACTATAACACAGTGTGGCAGATCCAACATTCTAGTTTACTTTTTCTCAGCATGTATCACCCATGAAGAACTCTTGATCCATGATAAACAAGGTTTTCACCAATTTTTAGTTTAACATTTTAAAACTACCAAATGATTTTTCTTAGAAATATATACAAACAATAAAAGACCATTCAAATATAACAAAAAAAAAAAAAAGGTTAACTTAAAAAAAAGGGTTAAAGAAAAATGTTTAAAGCTTCAAAGTAGTGATATAAAATAAGAATTTGCTCTTACAGGTGTAAAACCAGAATCAATTGCCTTAGCCACCGAAGATAATTCAGCTGAAGATATCTGCACATGTTGAATATGAACTTAGACGAGCAACGTTATCTGAAAAGGAAGACAAATGAAGTCTACAATTCATTATGTTGATGGATATGATCCGACAAATATTTGGTTGAGAGTTTACTAACATGTCTCTCACTGGTGTACCATCCACATGAGAAGGGTGACAGTCCAATTGAAGGAATGCCCTCTGCACAGAGAAACAAATATCTTTTGGAATGAATTCCAATAGTTGAAAAGAATATGAGCCAAAAGAAGAGGTTGAAGCAGATAGCAGCAAGCCAGCAAGTATTAAGTTTCAGCAGAAGGATAATTATTATCAATGCAGCAAACAGCATATACAAAACATTTTCATTACAGATAAAATCCTCATTCATCGGATGAAAAGGGATATGCCACAAACACCTCCATTTTTGGCAGATTATTGGTGTTCTGTAGACAGACATAATTTTCACATTGATTTTTACTTGCATAAGTTTATTTCTGTTTGCCTTAAGGTCTTTTTATAAGCACAGATTGACATCTATGAGCAAAATAAAAAAAAGGAGATTGAGTGATTGCATTTCATTATTCCATTAAGTCACAAGGCAAGGACAGTGTCATGTTAATAAATACAAGCCAGCCCAAAATAATGAAACTGGAAATATGTCATACTACATACTAGTAAAAAATCAAAATAGTGATCATTGGTAAAAAATGAACATAATACCAATGGAGATAGATAACAACCATGTCAGCCAAATCCCAATATGACTGAAAAGGTTTGATGTATATCATGCCATTAGCAAGATAACATTCAGTAAATTACTGATGACCAACTAGATCATGGACTTAAAAGCAGAAAAGCTTGAAACAAAAGATAAATACCCAATGCTTTGATACAACAAGAATATTTGGGTATATATATAGATAGCAATAATTGTAAAATTACCTCTGGCTAGTGCCCTAACAATTTCAAGATTAAGAGTGGTTACCTGAAATTGAAAACAAATGGTATGATCCTCATTCTGAAAGTGATTAGTATAATAACAACTTATTATTATGATTTAAAAATCTGTCCTTATCAGAACAGTCTTGAGATACCACCAATCAATGTAATTTTTATGACATTCCAGTCAAATTCTCCTCCCTTTCAAATTAATATCTATGCCTGATGTACACAAATTAGATTCAGAAGGCTTCTTTATCAGGATTGGTAAACTTTGAGGAGCTGTTAAATAGTACAATACCACACTTTTGACTTTATGACACTAATAGCAAAGCATTTCAGACAGCATTACGGTTACAAAATAGACAAGAAAATACAAACAACCCCCCCCCCCCCCCCCTCAAAAAAAAAAAAAAAAAGATATAAAACATCAGCATATAAGCTGAATTTGGGAAAAAAAGTTTATGAATCTCAACATGAATTCAAGATTAAGCCTTTGCTTCAATTTGAGTATGAACGAGCAGTTACTTATCAGGTGCCCACTGCACTCGTATAACAGTCAAAATGTAACATTTGTTTTTACAAACTCAACAATTACAACTATAGAGAGATCTTGCCAATGATTGCTTACAGATATTCGGGTAGCAACAAACCCACCCTTGACAAGAGGTTTATTCAGTTGCCCCTTGTGGACACCAGATTTGCTAGCTTGGAAATGGCCAAAAGAACCTGAGAGCACCACAGAGCCTAATATGAACTAGTTGTCTATCATTAAGAATTGATATCTACTATTTAAACATCACATGTAATGTGAAGCAATTTAAGTACAAAAAAATGTTAATTCTGTTAATTCAATCCGTCTGAGGAAATGGAAAATACTATATCGATAACAGTTTTGCCTAAAATAATCATAACAACAATCAGATTACAGACACTTCGAGAAATCTTTATCAGGTGACTTTCATTCAAAAAAGAGTAAATTTCCATTATGCATCATCAAATTGATTCTCCACAGACATAACGTGACATCAATTTGGTCCTTCAATTTCATATTTTGGGCATCAAATTGATTCTCAAAATAACATCAAATTGGTCCTTGGAAGGACAAATCTAAGGAAACATTAATTATCACTGGAGGGAGAACTAATTTGATGGCATTAATATACACAAGACAAATGTAATGTCATGCATATACATTCCTCCTTATATACAAAAATGATATATACAAATATCTAATTTTTCTAATATTTTTATTAACAAAACAAAACTACTTCAAGAAAAAAAAAAAAAAAAACAACTCAAGGAACCTGCTCCATGAACAACTATGAAACGGCTACATTCCATGGCAGAATGATCTTCAAATTCTTCCGGGTTACAATAAATTTCTGAACTTCCAAGTCGCTTGCTCCAATCCATCCCAGGAGGCTTCTCAGAAGATGAAATCATTGCTTGTCTCAGCTGTTCTGAAACCTTCTGAAGAATCTCCTCATTTATCATCTCTAATTCATTCTTGCAAGTAATTGCAGCTCCTCCTGAATATCCATCCCATCAAAAGCATTAAACTTTTTTCACTGATACAAAATCCTCACAATCAAGCATTCCAAGTATAATAATATTAATGGGTTTCAGAATCAAAAGAGACACGACACCACAGATGCTTATATGCATAAAAAAAGCTAACTTTGATATGGTAGAGGATAGGAGCATTGTAAAACAACAAACTTTGGAAATAAATGATGCAAATAACCAATAGAAGTTTAGACGCAAAACCACAGAGAGTGTATTTGTGATAATACCCAGTTTCACTATACAACGGATTGGTTCAGTGAAGGGAGATTGGGGTATTTGGTGGTGATTCTTTTTCTGCTCCATTACTCCCAAGTTGACCAATGAAAGCTTGGAAAGTGACGAGTTGCGAGAGAAGGAAAGATTGAGTTCAATAAAAAATTGATAAAATAATTGACGAAGACTAATTATTAAGAAGAGAAAATAGTTAAAATAAAATTAGTTAAACACATTGTGTTTTAAATATTTTTTAATAATTACATTTTAATATAAAAATTACAACTTATAATGTTAAAATTAATTTATTTTTAAATAAAATTAACTTAAATCCAAGCACGGGCAGAATAACTTAATCTCAAAAACTATTATAAGAACGTGAGTTTAATTTATGAAGTAACTATTCAGATGATAAAGCTGCATTTGTTAGGCTCAATAGCAAACAGATAACAAAATAGTGGATTGACGAGATAATTAAAAGTGGACAAATATATCAATCAAAAAGTTTGGTAAGTAAGGGAAATGATTGCTGGTGAATCAACATATTAAATTTGATAGCTTAGGAATAAATGTATAAGATTATTTACTAGTCAGCTCACAATCAAATTAAGCACTATTCGAAGGTGATAAGTAGCAGTCGAGAAATTTGTTAGTTAGATCCACATAAATTTAAGGGGTATCTTTAGAGTACAAATTTTGATTTTTTCTTTTTGAGGTTGCCATTCTGAACTCAAATATTTCAGTTGCAAAATCTATGAAAGATTCACATAAATTTTTATTCACTCTCTACTAATTTTAACTTTAGGTTGTGACTTATTTTAGACTGTGATATTGTAAATTCACAAATACTTGTTTCTCATTCATTTAACTCTCACAACACAATACATAGATAATGTAATGCTTTTTATTGAGACAAACAAAATAATTAAAATAATACATAAAATTACATAACTTAATTGTTAAGCATAATAAAAATTAAAGTTTGACAAAGACCTTAGCTATTTAAAATTTAATTTAGAACTAAATACTTGTTAATTAGTGTCACTATATTGATTATTTTTAATCTTATAAAAATTTCAAAAATCTTTGTATTGTTAAGCTTTAATATTCAATTTAAAATTTTTCAATCTTATAAATAAGTAAGGATGAATTGTAACAAGATAAACTTGATTTATCTTATAATCAGTTGAGTTTTTTTTTTTTTTTAATAACTGTGGTTGACATTTTAGAGATTGAAAGGTTGAGTCTTCCTACTCTTTCTACAATTGTAGAATATGTAACAATAAAGTTGTCGACTTTGAAACAAAATCAAACTTAAGCAAATGAAGGGTTCAAGCGACACTAAAAAAAGGCAAAATCCAATATTTTTCAAAATCAAACACTTTTCACAACGCTGATCAAGGCAATTGAAAAAGGGCATATAAAAATTTGAACTTGAAAGCTTAGAGTAATGAAGAGTGTGTGTGTGAGCATAGCAGGAAGCTTTTTTTTATTTGAAAGATGCAGAGCTAATTCTGCAAAAGAGTTAGAGTGAACAATTAGAGTTCGATTCTTGTTGGGCTATTGCTGCTCACCCATTTTCAATCGAATGAACACATTTGAAACCATTTTTCCTGCTTGTCTTAATCGAAAATCTTCAATTTGAATGAGTTTTGTTCAAGTTCACGGATTTGGCGCACCCCTAGTTATAATAAAGAATACAACTCAAACATATCAATCAAACACAAGCCTTTGCTTTTATCCTTTAATTTTTACTTTTCACTTTTTTCAATGCAAACTTAGAACATAGTTAATATTCTCTCTAGCTACTTTTTTTTAGTAGCCTACAAATCCACATCTAAAAAACATAGTTTGTCTAAAATTCTTTTTAATGGGCTTAATCTATTGTATCTGCAAGCAATGCCTGAGATAATGAAAGAAAGAGAGGAAAGAAAGGATTATAATCATTGGGCTTTTAGATGATTTCAAATGAAAAAGAGATAGGGACAAATTTCAGTCTTCAAATCCCGGACCAGTTAGCAAATAAAATTGGGGGCTTAAATGCTTAATTAAGTGCATCATCCTATAAAAATTGAACAATTTTTTGACCTAGTCTTCATAAAATGTGTTGTTAAGAGAAAAGCTTAATTAAGTGTAAAATTGAAGAATGTACTAAAGTTAGTGTTGAAAGAGGGGAGAAGGGAGCATTAGGCAACAGTGATGAGAAGAGTGTTACTGAGAAGAGGTTCTCCGACATTGATCGCACCCTTTCTCCTTCGATATCAATCATTACAAACAACGCCACTCCCTCCCCCAGAAGTGGTCGAACCCTTCTGCGACCTCTCCGACGTCGTTTCCACCCCGCAACCCTCTCCATGGCTCACCCAAATCCTCAGCCTCCTCGACGGTTCTCCTTCCATGGAGTCCAAACTCAACTCCTTCTGCCACCACTTCCTCATCACTCTCTCCCCCGCCTTCGTCTCCTACACGCTCCGCTCCCTCACCAACCCCCTCATCGCCACGCGCTTCTTCGCCTGGGCCTCAACGCAACCCCGCTACTCCCACTCCCTCGACTGCCACGTGTCCCTCATTCACACCCTTCTCTCCCACTCCCACGACCCCGCCGCCTTCCGCCGCGCCTTCGCCGACCTCCGTGGTAACCGCCTCCCCATGACCCTCCCCGCCGCGAACTTCCTCGTTAGTAGCCTCGCCAATGCCGGCCTCATTGAGGAGCTTCTCTGGGTTTGGCGTTCCATGAAGGAGGCCAATCTCCAACCCACTTTGCTCACTTATAATTCCCTCCTCAACGCGCTGGCCAACAACGCGCTCGCCGACTCGGCGGAGCGCGTGTTTGCCGCCATGAAGGACGGGGTTGTGAAGCCTGATGTTGTCACCTACAACACTCTGATCAAGGGGTACTGCAAGGTGGGGAACACGCGCAAGGCGTTGGAGGTGGTTAGAGAAATGGAGGTGGAAAGATTGGAGCCTGATGTGGTTACTTACATGACGCTTGTGCAGGCTTGTTACAGTGAGGGTGATGTAGATTGTTGTTTGAGGCTTTACCATGAGATGGAGGATAAGGGGTTGAAGGTTCCCCTACATGTGTATTGTTTGGTGATATGTGGGTTGTGTAAGAAGGGGAAGGTTGTGGAAGGTTGTGTTGTGTTTGAGAATATGGTTAAGAAAGGTTGCAGGGCTAATAAGGCTGTGTATACTGCAATGATTGATGCTTATGCTAAGAGCGGGAACTTGGATGAGGCAATGAGGTTTTTTGAGAGGATGAAGGTAGATGGGATTGAACCGGATGAGGTTACTTACGGGGCTGTTGTTAATGGGTTGTGTAAGAGTGGGAGATTGGAGGAAGCTTTGGGTTATTTTCAGTTTTGTAGGGAGAATGGTGTGGCGGTGAATGCGGTGTTTTATTCAAGTTTGATTGATGGTCTTGGAAAGGCAGGGAGAGTGGATGAGGCTGAGAGGTTGTTTGAGGTGATGGCGGAGGAGGGATGTCCGCAGGATTCGTACTGTTATAATGCACTTATTGATGGACTGTGCAAATGTGGAAGGATAGATGAGGCTTTGGCGCTGTTTAAGCGGATGGAGCAAGAGGGTTGTGAGCAGACTGTTTATACCTTTACAATACTTATCAGTGAGCTTTTCAAGGAGCATAGGAATGAAGAGGCGTTGAGGCTGTGGGATGTGATGATTGACAAGGGTGTCACTCCGAATGTTGCTTGTTTTAGGGCTCTTTCAATTGGACTGTGTCTTTCGGGCAAGGTTGCAAGAGCCTGCAAGGTGTTGGATGAGCTGGCTCCCATGGGGATTGTTCTTGAAACAGCTTATGAAGACATGATTAGTGTGCTGTGCAAGGCTGGCCGCGTGAAGGAAGCTTGCAAATTGGCTGATGGAATTGTGGATAGGGGTAGGGAAATACCAGGAAAGATTCGTACTGTGATGATTAATGCCTTGAGGAAAGCTGGTAATGCGGATTTGGCAATAAAGTTGATGCATAGCAAGATTGGTATTGGGTATGACAGAATGCGTAGTGTTAAAAAGCGAGTGAAATTCCAAACCCTTGTTGAGAGTTGATTTTTTGGCAACTAGATAATGTGCTTGAAAATTGATGAAGGCCAAAGCCAGCGCATATGAAAGTGTAGCCCATGTCTAGGTGTTGTTTTGTTGGCAAACTTATGGAGTTGCTGAGCTGTTGACTCAGTGGTTGGTCTCTGAAATTCAATCAAATGTGTTGTAGATAGGTAATTTCAAGATTAGATTATTTCACCCCGAATCTTTTCCATTTCATGTCTAAATCTCTTCAGATTGTTTGTGTGAGTAACTTTAGATGCAATGTCCTCGTATAGTGACCTTAAGAAAAGATACTGCTGGAAACACCAGGTTTTAGCTGAGTCTTTGAAACCCTAAGCAGTGTTTGGAAGGCAAACCCCTCTCTGAATATCAGCAGTTGGCTGATTGTTGGGTGTGAAGAAGAGACTCTTTCTTCGCTAGTAAGTTTGGTTGAGGTGGCTTGGCAGAAGATCTGCTGAAGGGATGATTTCTTCGTTGAAGGTTCTTTTCTTCCTCTTTCTTTGATGCGCTGTTTTAATCATCTGTGATGTAATACTATAGAGTTAGTGTTCCACTGCAGCAGGACTGGACATGGATTTAATTGGCCCCACAGCATAACTTAATCTAGAAATTTATCCTGCCAATTTGTTTCATTTCCACTCAGGGAAGATGGATCCACCTCCTGATAACTCTTCTGGTGGAGGAACCATTTTCTTTTCCACTGGAGACATTCCAGCATTGTTTTGGTTCAATCCCTGAAATGCTGATGATATTTTTGCCTAGTTCTTTGGCTTCTTGGACCCGTTTGGGGGTATGGGAAGAAGTGGTGGCGGCAGCATGAGATCCAGGTTCTCTAATGGCATGTTAGGTGATGACATTGTTAGGTCTTTTAGTGAAGGAGGAGGAGTCCATGTGAATCAAAGTGGTCCTCACGAGGTTTCTCCAATTGAAAACAAGTTGCCCTGCACCCTTGAGGAGATTTATAAAGGGACTACCAAGAAAATGAAGATCTCTAGCGAAATTGTTGATGCCAATGGGTGAGTTGTTATCTTAATTTTACCCGTCTTACTGTTTTTGATGTGCTGTGTTTAGTGCTAATATTTTTAAAATGGTTTAATTTGGTTTGGTAGATGGTGGAGTAGGTGCTAATAGTACTGAGATTCTTTGGTTTGAATGAAAGTAAAATAACAGAAACCTGTATGAATTAACTGAAGAGGAAACTAGCTGGATTTGGCTACTTATCAGTTCATCACCTGACGCTTGTTTGTATTTCATTTTGAGAACTTACACTTGCTACTTGGATCTTTTGTGTGAACATCCTTTTTTCAGTGAATTGTATCCTCCATTTAATTATTTATTGATTGATTCATCTATCATGCGTCGAATATGCAAGAAAATTTTGTGGTCCTGTTTATGCTGTAGATGTTTTTGTGTTGTTGTGTTTACTTCTTGGTTCAGAGAAGAAAACTACATAGCACGCATTGTACTTTGATGCATACCACAATCCACAGTGGATCTTTCCTCCCTTGTAAAGTGCTGATGGTTTAGAATTAAATTGAATCACTTTATTCTTTAATTACCAAAGGTAGTTTTGCCTTGGGTTTTCTAAATATAACAATTTGTAGGCATTAAATGAATCATATTTATCTTGTAACTGGTAGTGTCTAATACACAGCAATAGTATTGTTCTTTGATTTGTGGTAGACGTCAGGCAGGATGAATGCGTTGGATATTTTGAGTTCTACTATTGTAAACTATATATTTTGGTAACTGTTTCTTTTTTCGGTAATGAATTTATGGGATTTTAACTTGTAATAGTCATCAGGTTTATTTATAGCTAGCAGTAGTTGCTTGGAAAATTGATCCATTTTAAACTTTTGCTTTTATAATCATATTAGGACGGTACACCAAATACAGCTAAAAGTAATATCTTTCAGGTATATAAATACCTATAGTAGAACAGTGGCATTAGCAACAACTTTTCACGTCAGATAATAATGGTGCATAGCAAGAAGATCGACCCTTTTGTGCATTTGTTAAAAAGATTGTCTCTAATTTTTTATACTATATCATGCCTCATTTCGATTCTAGGGTTGAAAAGGCTTATGCAGATCAACATTCTGATGAAGTCTGATGCCGTGATGTTTTATCTTGTTCTTGTTTAACACTGCAGCAGCTTACGACCTACTCAAAATCTCACCAACCCTAATCATGTGGATGTACATAATAGTCTTTTATCTTCAGCTAACTCTGAAATGAGTTTTCATATTCCCTAGTGGGTGCAGCAAAACCACACAGACGGTTAACGTCGAGCCCAGTTGGAAGAAGGGAACAAAGATCACCGTCCCAGACAAGGGAAATGAACAGCCAACGTGACACCTGCTGACACTGTGAACCTCACTACATTGGATGCTAGAAACTTAAACTTTTCAACAATGTTATCCATCCTTGTTGCAAGATAAGGAATGCCATTCCCAAAGAAAGGAAATTTGACCAGCGATTCTACGTTGTGCACCCAAAACATTGCAAACCTGATCACTTTTTCTACATGGATAACTGGATGCATAATAAAATGTGTATTGTTTTATGCATTATCTGTTGCCCAATTATTGCTTGTCAGCTTGTGCTTATCTCTTCCTTTTTTGGTCAATTCTTTTGTTCTCTGAAAAAATGTATTTAAAATAAATTAGTTTTAATTATCCAAAAATTGAAGTTGTATCGAAGGGTCTTTTGATTGACATCAGCTCCTAACTAATTAATCGAACACACAAATATAAAAACTTCTAATTAATTGGTAGCTCAGTTAAAACTTGCTTGAAGGAATTTCTCAAATTATTATTTTTTCAATATAATTTTTCGTATGATTCTAAAGACATCAATTTGCTGATTTCCTCTTAGTTGGACACCCCTTTTCCAATTCCTTATTGGGCAGATTTCGCTATTTCCAGAGATTCCAATTATCCATCGAAAAATCAAAGGCGATAAGTGCCAACAAATTTTGAAAATGTCCGATATAAGTATAATATTTGCCTCGTGTATAATTTTTTCCTGTGAAAACCAAATTTTATTATTATTTTTTCTATAATAAGAAAGTTTATGATCGAGTACTGGAGCAAAGGAGAGGCTACGTGCCTGTTTGTATTATAATTGAAATCGATTTCGTTCGAAGTAAATAATTTTCGATTCTGTTCAACATATTTTAATTTTGCAAAAATAAAATAGCAGTCATTTATTAATAAATTCAAAGTGGCATGTGAATGAGTCCCAGAGAATATATGGTCTAGAGTCTAGAAAAAAAAATGGCATGTAAACAACATTTTAAACAAACTCTATATGCTAGAGTAACATAAAAAGAGTCTTTAAGACATGTTTGTATCTTCATTATGAGCTACTTTATTTGGTTTTTATTTTATTTTTTGCTTTGATAAAACTCAGTTAAAGTTATCTTGTAAATAAAAAACTAACCCTTTTATGCATGCGCACAATAAAAAACAAGTCTCAACCAATTACTGCTTCAAAAGGAAAAACTTAAAAGGTTTGACACTAAAAGAAAAATGTGAAGCATGAAAAGAGAATGGGAAAAATCAGTAGTGAGACCCCATTACGTTTTTAGTGTTCAACAATTATTTTGTGTGTCTTGGTATTAAGTTTTCGACTTTTGGGTCTCACCTTTTCTTTTCAATATTGGATCTCATCTAAAGCCTTCATATTATTCAGATACCTTTTTTTTTTTTTAACTGGAGGCCCAAGAAAAGGTACATGTGAAGGTGTGCTGCAGAAAAAGTTTGAATACCTACTAAATTTAATTGCAGAGGTTCGTTTTTGTAAAAATGAAAAAGAATTTTCTTACATTTGTATAAATTTAAATTTTTTTAAATTAATTTAAATTTTTTATTTAATTTAAATTTAATAATTTAATAAAATAATAAATTATAATACATCAAATCAGTTAGTTAAATATAAATTAAATAAAAGATGTAAAAAATATTAACACGTATTTAAAAGTGTCTGAGGACAAAATCGACAATTCATCTGATGTACGGTGACGTTTGCCCATTATATTATGCGACATGGGACCCACCTGCCAGAAAAATTTCATTCTTACTTTCTTTTCCCAAGCTGATAAACAAAACCATAAATATGCACGGCTTTAATATATATATATATATACCAGTTTATTTACAATAAATTTTGATAATGTATTATAAGAAATATTTAGTAATTTTACCAAACATTTGATGAAGTAGGTTTAATTTTTTTATTTTATTTTATGAATATTTTATTTTATTTTATTTTTTGGAAATTTTGTTAATAAATGTTTCAAGAATATTGGATAAGCAATGTTTTAAGAAGATTAAATTGTATTTATGAATAATTAAAAAAAAACAAATTGTCTTCTAAAATAAAAAAGAACTCAGCTTAATTTTAGTACTTTTAAAAATTAAAATATATATTAAAAAAAGACATTTAATATGTATAATGATATTTTTCTATTTTAATCATTATTTTCTCATTTATATCAATTAATTAAATAAAAATCAATAATTCCTTTTAGATTTAAAAAAATTATTAACATCTTTATACTACTAGTTAAATAAATTTATTTAATAATTGAAAATATTTTATATATAAGAGGAGAAAAATCATAACAGAGCATATGGTTGGGGAACTAGGCGTGGACTTTTTGCTGGTTTTTTCTTCATCAGATCCACCAAACCAAACCCAACACACAGAATCATCAATCATGTAGAAGCAGATTGTAGACACAACCCAACACAAAAGTTTCAAACTTTTCAGTCTCTAAATTAAGAAACACAAAAAGAAAGAAATATATAAAGTTGGAAATTTTTCCTTTTTTTCGTTCTTTGGAAACACAGACAAAGTTTGAAGCTTTCTTTCAAACCAACTTGGATGGCCGGCGGCGGGGAGCAGCCACCGCGACCCACCATCACTCTTCCTCCACGTTCCTCTGCTTCTATGGACACCCTTTTCAATGGTGGTTTCAGTCCTGGTCCCATGACTCTTCTCTCTAGCTTTTTATCTGATGGTGATGATTGCAAGTCATTCTCTCAGCTTCTCGCCGGAGCTATGACTTCTCCGGCGGCCGGGGCTGCCGGCTTGCTTGATTCACCTGCCTTCTTTTCACCTTCTCAGGTATAATTATTACACATCTTGTACTTATGCTTTCAGCTTCTTCTTTCATTGCTTTTTCAGTCATCAAACATGAGAGTATTGTATAAAGAGAAATGCTAGCTTCCCATTTTCTAACTTACATCTTTTAATATGTTCTTTGTTATAAGCTTTAATTTATTAAAATTTACAAAAATTACGTGAAAATCGTTCGGTGAACAACAAGAGTTTGTTAAAAAAAGGTGTATTAAATATATGTTAGGGAACCATTTTTTAACATTATTTGTTAGACAAATCGTTTTCTTCCTTCTCATTTTCAGTTCAGACAAAGCTTAAGTGTTCTATTTTAACTTTTGTTCTTTGGGTGTGTCTTGCCACTTTCATTTTTAAAGTATTTTTTTTTTTAAAAGTAAAGATCTTTTCACACTGCATGTTAAATTTGGACACATAATTTTAACATTTATAAATATATCATCCAACATTTAATATTTTTTTATATTTAAAAATATATGACTTGTCAAATAAAATAATATGATGAAGTGATTATTAATTTTATGTTAATATGCAATTTTGTAAAGTTAATTTATTTGGTAAAACCTTCAACAGTTAGAATGGACAACAGACACACTTCTGATCTCCCATCAAAATTAAAATTTAGGCCAAACCCATTTAAGCCTCCTAAAATATAGGGTTTAGATTTAAAATTTTCGGTCCAAATTATTTTGATTTTTTTATATTTGATTCGTTCAGACATTTCATTAATTGGATAGATTTATTTAACTGCAAAATACAAGTTTAAGAACTTTTATTTTGTGACTACAATAAGGAGCAAATTTGTTTTGATCCGGCCTAATTAAGCTCAAATCAATCTTTATTATATGATTTAATGTGGTGAAACTATAATTTTAACTAGTGAGCAACGTTAAAAACCCCTTAAGATACTGTAGGTAAGTTTTATACATTGGTTTTTGAGTAATTAAGCAAGCTTTTACTCAATTGAGCAAGTGTGAACTATTTGTGTTTCGTTTGAGTTCATACTTTATAATTATTAAGGGTGTGGAGAAGGTGCTAAGGCGGTAACTAATAAGCCTTCAATTGGATTCTAGGAGTCAGTTTTCATGGTCATGAAAGTTGTGGCTATTATCAATGAGTGTAGAGTTATTGAATGCAAATACTTAATTTCTTTCTATAATTTTTGTGTGCAATTTTGTTTTTCTTTTTTCGGGGGATTCTTCATAATGGTTGAATGAAGATTACTATAACGTGTAGAATGGAGATTAACATTGAGTTTGAAGGCTGCCCAGAAGGAATAATTGATTTATACATTACATGGTATATGAGAGCCAAGTAAAACAGTAAAATTAGACTTCTGAGTCCACATTTTTTAAGTTTCAATAAAAGTGAATAAGGGTGTGCTTTTCTTTTCATAGAACGGAATCTTTGTCGAAATTATTAATTGTATTTTATAAGTAGTAAGTTATAATTGTATTTTATAAATCAAGTTACGGATCAGTATAAGCTGGAAACTCCAACAGAAGTTTATATCATGCTTGATATTGTAACTTCTAGTACAAAAATTACACAAAGTCAAAATAAAATAGTGGAAATTTCTTGATATTGTATTTCCTGGATATGTTTGAACATGTCAAACACACCTGAAGCCGTTCTCCTACCCATTTGTTAAAGATTCTATAAGTATACAACCTATTGTGTCCCTCATTTTCATAACATATCAACTTCCTCAATGTCTTCGACTTTTATATATTTATTGCTGGCCAATTTTTAACTTTTATGCTGAAATTGGCCGGCTTCTTAATGAGTGGGTCTATAGGCAATCCCAATTACTTATTTTAAACAATGAATGGTACTACAAAATAGTTGGATCTGTCTTGAATAGGATTTGATTTTTGTTAACTTGAAATATAAAAATGAAAAATACTTGTTCCCAAGTTTCATTTTGTTGACTTAATGCAGAGACCCCCCTGTACATTTGGAGTTGGCTTGTGCTAACTTTGCTTTTTATAAGGAATGACTTTATGGCAAGTGATGTCTTGACTCTTAGATATGATTGTTAGGTTGGAAGGAGCCTATAATATGAAGGGAAGATGTGTAAAGTCAAGTTGCTATTATCTGAGAGTAAAAATAGTGCAGATCCTTGAATTGATATTGTTACTGAAGATAGAGAATTTTTCTGTTGTATGATCAATCATCAATGTCTAATACCTAATTGGTTGGAAGCCATCCAGCTATCTCTAAATAATAACTTTGAACCTATCTAAGTAAGTGTTTGAAACAATTAAACTGAATAGAATATAAAACCAAAAATAACAGATGTTAAATGCTATAATTAGGGTACAAACAATTTTTTCTAGGCCAATTAAGATACAAACAATTAATAATAATAGTTCAAGTTTATTTCCGATCCTCTGACTTATAGTTTTATTAGAAAATTGTAATCATTAGTAGAATATTTATTAAAAAAATGTTAAACTCAAGTTTTAAGACTGAGTTTAGGTATATAATAATGGTAAGATTTTATTAGAAAAATAAATATTTATTATACTTTTATTTTTTTAATGTAATAAATGTGTTCTTTTTTAATTAAAACTTACTATTTTTAAATACTTAAGAGTGAAGTTTAACAAAACTCTATTTATTACAGTGTGCATGAGGATAAATGAATAACAAAAAAAAAAAAGGCTACTTGTTGGATTATATCTAGTATGTAAATCTACGTGATAATGAAAGTTTTATCGTATATACGATTTTGAATTGCAACAACAAAGCCTTATCTTATCAAGTTAAGTTGGTTATATACTATGAAGCACGAATACTCCTCTTATTTGAAGTGTCAGACACTTGTTAAACATATGTTAGACACTCTTCGTTAAGTGTTCAATTAAAAAATTATTATTTTTTTGCACATACACCTGAGCCAGTATTTTAGAATAGATGAATACACACAAGTATTATTAAATTATTTTTTTAACTTTTAAAAACCTTAGCTTAAATTTTAATGTAAAATATTAATAAATGATGTTTTCTTTAAATTTTTTTGGAACACATGATCATTAAAAAATTATATAAAACTTAATATATTTGTTTGAGAATGTGAATATGACATAAATTTGTATTATTTTGAGATCTATTTGTAAAGAGACCAAGTACTTACATAATGTCTCTTAACATTGTTTTTGAAGTATACATGTAAGCGGTGTCCTATTGGAGTCTGTGCTTGAAAGGTTACATGAATCAGTGCGACAGAATACAGGCACTCTTTGTCAGCATACACAGTGACATATGATGTTTTTTAAGTGATTATACTGTCTTCTTATTCTCCTAACAACTTGACTTGTATGGCATGTAGATGTCTTTTGGAATGTCACACCAGCAGGCCTTAGCGCAGGTCTCAGCACAGGCCAACTCAAATATGCATATCCAAGCTGAACATTCACTGTCTGTATCAGTATCACAAGCTACCTCTTTGACACAGGTTCCTGCAACTACTTCCAATACTACACAACAGCTTATGCCACCCTCAATGACAGAATCCACTGATTACCCTCACTCTGAACAAAGATTACAGCCTTCTTCATTGAATGTTGATAAGCCAGCTGATGATGGCTACAACTGGAGGAAGTATGGGCAGAAACATGTGAAAGGTAGTGAGTTCCCTCGAAGTTATTATAAGTGCACTCATCCAAATTGTCCTGTGAAGAAAAAGGTTGAGCGTTCACTTGAGGGTCATGTAACTGCAATTATTTACAAAGGAGAGCACAATCATCAACGTCCTCATCCTAACAAGCGCTCAAAAGACACTACTTTGAATGAAAATTCAAATGTGCAAGGGAATGTAGATTCAACTTATCAAGGGATAACCACAAACACAATGTCCAAGATGGATCCTGAATCAAGTCAGGCAACAGCTGAACATCTATCAGGAACGAGTGACAGTGAGGAAGTAGGTGATCATGAAACTGAAGTGGATGAGAAAAATGTTGAGCCTGATCCCAAGAGGAGGTAAATTATATAAATATGTTCTTGCTGGATAATCATTTGTCTTTTCGGATCTTAAAAGTGTTGTAATTCTGCAGAAATACAGAAGTCACACACTCGGATCCAGCTTCTTCACATAGGACTGTCACTGAGCCTAGAATCATTGTGCAAACAACAAGTGAAGTTGATCTCTTGGATGATGGGTATAGATGGCGAAAATATGGGCAGAAAGTTGTCAAAGGCAACCCATATCCTAGGTGATAATGCTTCTCCTCCACATTTGATTGCATCTTTTGAACTTTTATTACTCAGATTTTAAAAACTACTATCCAATAAAATGCTCCATTGTTCATATTTATTACTCAGATTACTATAATTTGGGTGCATTTGGGTAACAACTTACCATAAGTTTGATCATAAAACTTACTGACATCATCTAAAAACAACTTATTTTGATAAGTGATATGAAGAGCTTATTGAAATAAACTAGAAAGAACTTATGAAAGTCATTAAGTTATTTTCGTAAGCTCTTTATAAAATCTTTCAAGCGCATCCTTTTATTTAATATTTCTTTACTGCATAGTGCATTTACATGAGATCCTTCTATTTGACTTGTCTTGGAAAAAAGTGCTTATGCATGTTAATATGACGTTTAGGAGCTATTACAAATGTACAACCCCGGGTTGTAATGTTCGGAAACATGTAGAGAGGGCTTCAACAGATCCTAAAGCTGTCATAACAACATATGAAGGAAAACATAATCATGATGTACCAGCAGCTAAGACTAATAGCCACACTATTGCCAACAATAATGCATCACAGTTAAAATCACAAAATACCAATCCTGAGAGGCATAGTTTTGGCAGCAGAGGAAATGGTGGCAACGAGCAACAGCCTGTTGCACGTCTCCGGCTGAAGCAAGAGCAGATAACTTAGGTTCATAATGTAAGGCTGGAAGAATTTGCCATAATCAGTAATGAAGAATATTTCTTGGATCACAAGTCATCTTTGTTTTGATGCTCATTTCATTCTTTTTTAAGTGTAAGGCCAAAATTTTGATCAAGGCCTATAAGTGCAATTCCAAATAAAGAAAGTAGTTCAACGGTATTGTCTTCCAGTCTTCCCTACATTACCACTTCCTGATGAAAGAGGTAAAAGAAAAAGGTTAAACAAGTGAAGTTTGCAGATTGAACAGAGGTTTTGGATGATGCTGTACTAATTGTGCCTTTTATGTACATTGAAAATGTAAGTTATGTTGCTTCATGTGCCTGTTCATTATTTCATCTTGTAATTCCTTGCTCTATGATATTTTGCTCAATAACGTGGCAAAAATTTTGGACCATGTACTAAATTTCACTATAGGTTCCTCCTCCGTCCTATATTTTCATCTCACGTGGACTTATCTGAAAATAACGGAGTTTTTTTAATATATTTTATGGAATTTCAATTTTGTTTGTTTTTAAAATTATATTGACCTGGCATTTTTATTTTTCTTCTTTTAGGTAAATCATTTACTTGCATTTAATTGCGTAATTGCACATGGTGTCATGTAATGTCATGGAGATGCATTCATACGACACTTCAAAAAATTAAAAAATGAATAGCACGACAAAAATGACCTCAAATTGACAGATAGTATTTTGACAAAGGGGATCAATTAAACAATTAAAAATATTTTAAAAACAAGATATTAATGTATCTTAACGAAATTTTAAAGAAAAATGTTGAATTACTTTACTAGTATTTTAAGGGTATTGAATAGAAAAATCTATAATAATTTTATAACATTTTTTATTTTAATTAATTTCCAAAACTGTGGCTATTTAGTCAAAATGTCCATCTTTTGACGAACTCAAACAAAATCAGAAAAGTCAAGAGACTAAAAAAGTTAAAAGAAGGCACTTGATGGAGCAGAAAGCCAACTAAAGGAAGAGTGGGACTTTGAAACTATACCCAAAGGGGGAAAATTCCGCACACTGCCTTGAGATTCAACCATGACCTTCTACATGACAAAAATTGTCAACATAAACGGTGAAAGATAACTCATGATAATTTTTTGCGTACTCGGTTGCCAGAATAACCTCAGCACATTACTATCAAGTTGGTAAAGGTTTTCTTTTACTAGTCAATTAATTAAAATAACTGCAGAGGAAAATTAACAAAACTTTCTTATGATTGTTGGCAATCAGTTATTTATTTGTAGATGGAGGGGTGGAATCCAAATTGGTATTCTTGTCTATTTTTGTTGCATATAGGTATTAGCAAATTAATTATTTCGTACTTTCAACTTCTGTCTTAAATGGACATTACAACATTCAACGTCAGTTCTTATTATCCTTCCTTCCATGTTAAAATAAATGATACGGCACTAACAAATAACAATATTTCTAAATTGTGGGCCGTAAAGTTCCACCGCAACAAGTAGGCGTTTTTTACTCTGGCACTCCTTTTTTTAAAAATAATTATTTTAAAAATAATTTGCAAATCATCTATTCTGAATTTAATTGTTGAAACACATTAAACTTATTTAAAAATTAAATTATAAAATAAGTTGAGTAATACTTTCAAAATTGAATTTTTAAAAGTAACAATACTTTTCTTGGAAGTTTGAAGAGAGGAAAAAGAAAGAAAAGTGTTTAAAGGTAAAGAAGAAAAAAGAATGGGAAGAGAAAGAAGGAATTAATATAAAACCTTCAAATTGAAAATTGATTTTTGATTGTTTATAAACTATCCACTTCTTTTCTAGAAACTCTCAAATAAAAAAAATATTATAAATTTTCTTCCTTTTCTTTCCCTCCAAAAATCAACTCTCAAACAACAAAGATACAAATAAAAAAAATGAAGAGATACATAAAGAAATTCCTCGAGTAAAAAAGGGGCGTGGCATGTGAGCCCATTTGATTTTACATTGCAAATGGCGTTTGCTTTTAAACACGAATTACGAGAACAAAATGGTTGATTGTGTATGACAAATAACGAAGCACGTTAAGATAAAAATTTTCGGTATGGTTCAAATCTGCATAACCAGACATGGCTCGTTTCGCCGAGTCCAGTTTCGTTGCTGATCACCTCAGAGTAGATTCCAGGAATAACTGTTACTCACCCCTCTTCCACTCTTATAACCATTTCGGCACCTGAATCGTATTTGGAGAAACCATTTCAACTTTGTCCCCATTTATTATGCGTCTAGTACGAATGGTATCGTTAATTTTGATTAATTCATAGATAAATTTTATCTTTTAAAGAAAAACTGCTGAAACAACTTTAAAATATACACTTAATCCAAATCCAAATATAACCGACACCTTCAAGGAACGAGAGGATCTCTCCCCTCTCTAGTCTCAATTTTTGTTTTAAGTAATTATTGAAACTTACACAGATTACAAAAGTCAAGATGTTAGTTTCCGTATGAATAGAAGTTTGTACATTTGAGGGAATAGCGTTGAAAGAGACAGAAAATTGTAATAAATTAATAAAAAAAAAAATGTCAACACCATTTAATTAATTAATCTAAATATGCACCGATATTAACACTCTTAACATACTTTCTTCCATATAAGTTACTCTCTCCGATCTTTTTTATAAAAAATAAAATTAAATATACAAATTATTAACTATACCATTTAATATTATGAATACTTTTAGAAAAAAATTTATATTTATAAAAATATAACAGACCTTTTAAATTCTAGTGATTTAGTTTTTTATTTTTTATAAAAAGGACAAGAGGAAGTATTAAATAACACCTTGTTACTATAGTAGCATTTTTTAAATCAAGATTGTACACACCTCCCATAATTTGTGTAAGTATCTTTTCCCTAGGATAATTTACTCATAGATCCGTTCAAAATTTGACTATGCTATACAAAATATCAAATGTGATCAAATATGCTTGCTCCCTAACATAAAGATCATGTCAACTCTCAATCACTTCACAATTCCTGTATACTGAATCTGACAAATAGTTCATAAAAGCAGGCAAGAATAGATCCCCTATCGTAATAGAGTATACTTGCTTTTAAATTAGACAAATATTGCAAGTATTAGACTTCTACAGATGAACACTATAAATAACAAAACTAAGGGTTGATTTTCAACCAGATATTTTGTGGAGACAACGAATGATATAACCTGAAAAGTAAACCAGTAACAAAAATTTTCAATTCTTATCATAAATAACAGGTAAGCCACATTACACGCAAGGGTATTGATAATCCTTTGTCCACTTTACCTAGTGGAGCTGGTCTAGTAGAGAGTGCTCCTCTTCAGAAGCATTGATATTTGGTAGCACATAAAAAGTATGCGCTTCATGATTGGAAATGGCATAAGATGACAATTGCAACACAAGGGACTATAAGAATAGCCAATCAAAACTAGAATGGTTAAAATCAAACATGTATGACTAACTTGGTCACTGGATCCTCTGCAGCAGCTTTTCAACCATTATTCTCTGCTGAACACCACTCAATGCCTCTGAGTTCATAATTGCATTAGCTACGATAATAGTTGTGGATGGAGATGATGCATTGACCTAAATGAAACAATTTTTAAAAGGAAAGATGAAATTAGTTGAATTTCTCCCAGTTCTAACCCATTAATGACGGTCAAGCATATACACCTCATATTAGACAAATCCATTTAAAAAAGCAAAGAAAAAGAACATAATATGGCACACTAGAAATAGAGGGTGTCTGCATACCCAAACACGTCCATTTAAGCCAACTGCTATCTCAAAGGACAGTTTCTTCCCTAAAGTATCAAGTACTGGACATGTGGGTGAGCTGAGAAGCCTACAGTCAACACACAAACTCCCGTGTTAAGATCTGTTTATGTTATGCATTGGCAGCAAAATTAAATTCCATAGACATACATCCTTGAGAGACCAGTTGTACACTCAAACATATAGCCATCTTTTAATACCCCAAATTCTGCTGCTTTCCCACTGGCTGAACAAACACCAAAACAAAATAGAAGGTAGAGAGTTAATAAGTCTGCAAAAATAGGCATGGGAAGAAAAGAACTTGAAATGAGATCAAGAATAGGACCTACCGTCAGTGCATGACAGCTCAGGATTCATTCCAGGGTTTGCTTTTACAACTCGCACATAAAGCAAAGTCCCAACCTGCAGGTGAACAATTAGGCAAACCGAAAATACAACCTACAGAAACATGATAGACCAATAGTGCAAAACATCATTTAACATCCAGAGGGGAATGACAAATCAAGTGCTAGCTTTCTAGCCAAAAATCAAATATGTAAATGATTTTTAACCTTTATCTCTTGCATGAATTAAAACAACATATACTCTTAGAAGACTTAATCAGGTCAGCCAATGTGTCTTTGGTAATCTGTGTGGGCAGCAGCAAAATTCAAATATGATAGTCAAATACATTTAATTGAAAAAGCACTCCCTGCTTCATACTCATGGTTGTATCTGTTAAGAAACTTGGGCCTAACTCACTCCCAAAAACTAGCTCATAAAAGGAGAACTATCCTAGCTTTATAAGGAGTATTCTGACTCTATTCTTAACTAATGTAGAATATCTTAACATCCCCCCTCATGCCCAGGACTAGACATCTAGTGTGTGAAATTTGCAGGATTAGACATCTGCACGAGTGGACCCAACAAGGCTAGACATATGTGGGCAGCCCAACATTCAAATTGAATAAGTTATGATACTATGTTAAAAAACTTGAGTCTAACTCACTCCTAAAAGCTAGCTTATAAGAGGAGGACTGCCCTAACCCTTATAAAGAGTATTTTGACTCTATTCATAGATCTGTTCACGATTTTGTCTAACAAGCACACTGCTGCACATTGTCCTGACAATCATTTTATAAGGGCGACAATTTTAGTTAAAAGTGATAACTAAGAAATCATTTAGCCTGAGAAATCAAAAGAGTGCTAACAAATGGAATAAAGTATTTGAAAACGCAACTTGAACAATGTTAGAATCTATTAGAATCTTGTAAATATAGTAACTGTATATTTTGTAATTATGTACTCTTTTCTATAAATTTGAATCACTTTGTTGTGCCCAAAAATACACGAATTTAATATTTTTCTCTCAATATGATATCAGAGCCTATTCAGTTTGAACATTAAACTGTCCACAGATGCCCAGTCCTATTGGGTCCACCCATGCAGATGTCCAGTCTTGCAAATTTCATGTACCAGATGTGCAATCTTAAGCGTGAGGAAGATGTGTTAAGATGTCTCACATTGATTAGGAATAGAACCAGAATACTCCTTATAAGGGCTAGGGCAGCTCTCCTCTGTCAAATTAAAAAAATATTTGGCCAAGAACTGTGTGTCCTTCTCATTCAGATTGCTCATATAAATACAGTAATATTACAAGCTGTAACGTTGATTTCAGCCCAATAAATCAGCTAAACTACCATATATACATTTATAGCTAATTATGTTAAATAAAAGAATAACCTTTACAAATAATTGTGCAATCAATCCCATACAATTCTGTTTTCCATTAATTCCGTTGACATCCCCCCTCAAATTGATGCTGGTAAATCTACAAGCATCAATTTGCCAAGTAGAAAATTGTGTCGTTGACGTGTCAAGGATTTAGTGAAAATGTCAGCAATTTGAACAGATGTTGAGACATGTGGTAGATTGATGACTCTTCGATCATAAGCTTCTCGAATAGAGTGGCAATCAACCTCGATGTGTTTCGTCCGTTCATGGTAAACTGGGTTTGTTGCAATCTGTATGGCACTGGTGTTGTCAGCATGCAATGGAGTTGGTTGTTCTTGAGAGAATCCAAGCTCTGTAAGAAGACCACGCAGCCATATAATTTCAGAACAAGCGGCAGACATTGCGCGATATTCTGCTTCAGTGGATGACTTTGAGACTGAATCTTGTTTCTTACATTTCCATGAAATAGGAGCATTTCCTAAAAACATACACCAGCCGGTAGTAGATTTTCGGGTGTCTGGACATCCAGACCAATCAGCATCACTATATGCTTGGAGTTGCATTGATGAACCAGTAGGAAAAAATAAACCACGCTTTGGAGTGCCAAGGAGATATCTAACGATTCGTTGTGTTGCTGAAAGATGGAAATGCCGTGGAGATTGCATGAACTTACTTACTGTATGGACAGCAAAAGAAATATCGGGACGAGTGATAGTTACATAGATGAGACTTCCCACCAGCTTGCGATATTGAGTGGGATCATCTAGAAGGTCACCTTCATCTCGTCTATATTTAACATTAACTTCTATGGGAGTGTCAACAGGGGTTGCATTTGTGAGTCCAGCTAGCTGTACCAAGTCTTGAATATACTTTTGCTGATTTAGAAAAATGCCTTCATGATGATAATGCACCTCTAAACCCAAAAAATAAGTGAGTTGGCCTAACTCTTTCATATGGAAAGTTGAATGCAGTAGGTGTTTGATTCTTGAGATAGCATCTTGATCGGAGCCAGTTACCACAATGTCATCCACATAAACGAGAAGCACCACAATTCCTTGAGGAGTCCTTTGTAGGAAAAGAGATGGATCATACTGACTTTGAGTGAATTCAAAACCAAGTAATGTCGATCGAAACTTTTCAAACCATACTCTTGGTGCCTGTTTCAATCCATATAAAGATCGTTTTAGTTTGCAAACAGTATTAGGCGAAGGTGTAGGCATACCATTAGGAAGTTTGATGTAAACTTCCTCCTGAAGATCACCGTGAAGGAATGCGTTTTTGACATCCATTTGATGTAGCTGCCAAGATTGTGATGCAGCAAGAGCAAGAATAGTGCGCACAGTTGTCATCTTGGCGACTGGGGCAAACGTCTCATCATAGTCTAGTCCATACTCTTGCTTATTTCCAAGCACAACTAGACGAGCCTTATAACGATCTATAGAGTCATCCGAACGCAACTTTATAGAGAACACAAACTTGCTTCCCAAAGGTTTAATAGATGATGGACATGGGACTATGTCCCATGTTTGATTTTCTTCCAAGGCGAGAAGTTCAGCTTCAATAGCTCGCTGCCAACATTCATTCTCCATGGCCTGTTTATAAGATGAAGGAATAGGAATAGAAGATAACGATGCTGTCATGGAAGTGATATACCTTTCTGGGGGCTTACGAACGCGTGAGCTGCGTCGTAGAGGAGCCGATTCTGGTTCTAGTTCTTCTACTGGACCAGCAGCCAAGGAATCATCTTGAGGGGGCCCATGAGAGTCAATTGGTTGAATGTGAGTGGTAGTACTACGTCTTTTGTATGTCAAGAGAGGTTTAGGAGATTGTTGACCTGCATGAGAGTTGGAAAACAATGGCAAAACAGAAATCGGAGAAGCAACATGATCATGATGTGATGCGAAAAAATATGTATGTTCTTGGAAGATGACATTTCTAGATACCCGAATTCTACGAAGGTTAGGATCATAACATAGAAAGCCCTTTTGATGAGGAGAATATCCAAGAAAAGCACATTGAACAGATTGTGCAGTGAGCTTGGTGCATTCTTGTGGAGGAAGATGGACATAACACACACAACCGAAGATACGAAGAGTGGAGTAATTTGGTGGGTGACCATGTAACCGAGTGAATGGAGATTCATTACCTAATGATGGAGATGGCATTCTATTTATAAGATGGACTGCAGTGGAAAGGGCTTCACACCAAAAACGTGAAGGCACATGAGACTCCAATAAAAGGGTGCGAACAACATCTAGCAAATGGCGATTTTTTCTTTCCGCTACCCCATTTTGTTGTGGAGTTGAGGGGCATGACCTGTGAGATAAAATGCCATTGGATTGCAAAAATTTCTGAAATGAGTGTGACATGTATTCACCTCCATTATCAGAGCGAAATATTTTTATTTTTGATGAAAATTGGGTCTGAACATAAGCATGAAAAATTTTGAAAGTGGAAAAAACTTCATCTTTTGATCGCAAAAAATAGACCCAGGTGAAACGACTATAATCATCAATAAAAGTTACAAAATATTTGTAATTAGCATGAGATATAACTGGTGCCACCCCCCAAACATCACTATGGATGATATCAAAAGGTTGTGTTGTATGAGACTGATGAGTTGGAAAAGCAGAATTTTACTCTTACCAAGCTTACAAGGAATACAATCAAAATGAACAACATTAAGAGATGGAGTGTGTTTATTTCCAAGAAAACCAGATTTTAGCAAGTCATGAAGTACATTTGCGTTTTGATGTCCAAGACGCTTATGCCACACTTGGTAATCAACAAAGGCAGAATTACAAGAAACTAAAGGCAAAGAAAGACTTGGAGGTAATGAGAAACGGATTGGAAAAAGACGTCCAACTTTAGGCCCCTTCGCGATGATCTTCCCTGAGTGTTGATCATGCACAAGACAACCAAATTGTGAGAATTGTACTTGACAATCATTTTCGACTAATTGACCAACTGAAATTAGATTACTAGTGAGGCCAGGAGAGACAAAAACATCTGTGAGAGATGAAGAAATATCACCCGTGGCTGTGATAGGCAATTGATTTCCATCAGCGGTATGTATGTTGAGAGTGCCCAAATATGTTTTCACATTTGTAAGAAATTGAGCATTGTTGGTCATGTGGTTGGAAGCCCCCGAATCAAAGTACCAAGATGAAGAGGATTTACCTGAGATTCCTAAAGCAGAGAATGCTGAAATAATCATCTGTTGAACCATTTCAGGAGTCACCGTTGAAGTAGTAGCAAGAGGATTTGGTTGAACTGGTACTGCATTGACTGAATTGTCAGGAATAGATGAATCAATTGCGGCGGTAAAGGCTGTGACATTTCGCTTTGGTGGCCTTATTGTGCATTCCTTAAGAATATGTCCATGCTTTTTGCAGTAGTTGCAGAATTTTTTTTGGGCAATTGGAAGCATAATGTCCAAATTGCTTGCAACAAAAACATTGAACAGCACTCATGTCATGACTTCTTGACTTCCCTCGTGCCACATATGCCATTGGAACAGTAGATGATTTTTGATCTGCAATGATGAACTGTGTATGGAGGCGTTGTTCTTCACGTAACAGATCATTGAAACACGCATCCAAAGATGGTACAGGGTCACGATGCATGAGATTGGACCGAATACCTTCAAAGTCAGATCTCAATTTCATAAGAAATTGATCTCGTTTAGTCGTTTCATAAATAGTTTGTACTGAACTTAGACCTTCAGAAGTTAAGTCTGCATAAACTATATCAGTGTACTCAGCCCAAAGATTCATGAATTAAGAGTAAAAATCAGAGATGGAGAGACTATCCTGTTGAAAGGAAGCTATGTCGTGCTCAAGCTGGAATCGTCGTGCAGTGTTCTTTTGACTGTAGACTTTTTTTAAGTAATTCCACATTTTGGCTGCTGTCTTGTAAGGACGAAGATTCAAAACAATGTTGGGGTCAACGGAACTAAGGACCCAGGCCATGACCTGAGCATCTTTGACTACCCACTTGGCATGTTCAACCTTATCTTTGTCTTTGTCAGGGATTGGAGTGTTGCCATCAACATGACCCCACAAATCTTTTCCTGTAACGAATATCTCGAAATGGAATGACCAAGCTGAGTAGTTTTTGCCGTTAAGGCGAACCAACAGGACATCGTGCTTTTCGATAGACATGGAACTAGAGTAATCTGGACTGGGAAGCAAATGACCGAGAAATAGAAGTGAAAAAAAACCGAGAACGTAGGCGAGGTTCTTGGATCGTAACCTAAGCTGATACCATGTCAAATTAAGAAAATATTTGGCCAAGAACTGTGTGTCCTTCTCATTCAGATTGCTCATATAAATACAGTAATATTACAAGCTGTAACGTTGATTTCAGCCCAATAAATCAGCTAAACTACCATATATACATTTATAGCTAATTATGTTAAATAAAAGAATAACCGTTACAAATAATTGTGCAATCAATCCCATACAATTCTGTTTTCCATTAATTCCCATTAATTCCGTTGACATCCTCCTATGAGCTAGCTTTAAAGAGTAAGGCCCAAGCTTCTTAACATGGTATCAAAGTATACGAGTGTTTTCCTCGGGTACCCACGATCTCAAAAAGGATACAAGTGTTATTCTTCTACTCTTCGCAAGTATTTCATCTTTGCTGATGTTACTTTTTTTGAGTCCATTCCATTCTTTGAGCTTAGAACATCTACATTCGAGTTTTCCCCATCCACGATTGCCCCTATTTCAATCCTTTTCTGTCCTCCAGAGGAATCTCCATCCCCTCCACACCCATCTCTTCCAACTTTGCAGGTATATCAGTGTTCTACTCGTCCTATATTGCAGCCACCGAGCACTAACACCACCATGGACTCACCTTTGGAGCCACCTCTTTCACCTCATCTTCCGGTCCTGCCCTCTGAACCTTACATCTTCATTGCTCTTCGATAAGGTTTACGTTCTACTCATAATCCTTCTCCTTATTATATTTCTCTAAGTTATTATCGTCTTTCTACTTCCTATTATTCTTGCCTTTCTTTCTTGTCCTCTATTTTTATTTCTAAGAGTGCAAGTGATGCATTTGCCCATCCAGGATGGCAACAAGCTATGCTAGATGAGATGTGTACATTATAGAACAGTGGAAGTTGGGACCTCGTTCCTCTACCACCAAGAAAGTCAATTGTTGGTTGTTGGTGGGTGTATACGGTCAAGGTTGATCCAGACAGCAAGGTGATCAGCTTAAGGCCCGTCTCATTGCCAAAAACTATACTCAAATTTTCGGGTTGGATTATGATGACATTTTCTCTCCCATGGCCAAATTGTCCTCTGTGCGACTATTCATGTCCATTGCTGCCATACGTCATTGGCCTCTCTATCAATTGGATATCAAGAATGCTTTCTTACATGTTGATCTGCTCAAGGAAGTCTACATGGAACAACCTCCTTGCTTTGTTGTTCAAGGAGAGTCCTCTAGACTTGTATGTCGACTGCAAAAAAATTTATGTGGCCTCAAGCAGTCACTCAGAGCATGGTTCAATATTGTGATTCAACAGTTTGACATGACTCAAAGTGAGGTTGATCATTCTGTCTTCTATCGTCACTCACCTTCCGGTCGCATCTACTTGGTTGTTTATGTTGATGACATTGTCATCACAGGTAGTGATCATCGTGATATCACCCAGGTGGAGCAGCATCTCTTCAAACATTTTCAAACAAAAGATATTGACAAATTCAAATATTTTTTTAGAATAGAAGTAGCACAGTCCAAAAATGGAATCATCATTTCCCAAAGGAAGTATGCAATGGATATTCTGAAAGAAACAGGAATGTTAACTTCCAAGCCAATTGACACTCCTATGGATCCCAATGTCAAGCTCCTCCCTAATCAGGGAGAGTCTCTTCTAGATCTTGAAAGGTACAGACGATTAGTAGGAAAGCTGAACTACTTCACTGTTACCCGTCCAGATATCTCATTCGCAGTGAGTATAGTAAGTCAATTCCTCAACTCTCCATGTAAGGAATATTGGAATGAAGTAACTCGCATTGTTCAATACATCAAAGGAGCTCCAGAAAAGGGTCTTTTGTATGAAGACAAAGGACACACTCGAGTTGTGGAGTATTCTAATGCAGATTGGGCAGGATCTCCCATAGATAGAAGGTCCACCTCTGGATTCTGTATATTTGTCGAAGATAACCTTGTCTTTTGGAAAAGTAAAAAGCAAAATGTTGTAGCCCTGTCCAATGCAGAAGCAGAGTATCGAGCTATAGCTATAGCAAGTTAGGAGCTTATATGGCTCAAACAATTGCTTCAAGAACTAAAGTTCGGAGAGGTCACACATATGTCACTTATATGTGATAATCAAGCCGCCATGCATATTGTCTCAAATTCAGTATACCATAAAAAGACAAAGTACATTGAAATTGATTGTCACTTTGTTAAAAAAAAAGTCATATCCAGAGAAATATCTACTAGTTTTGTCAATTTCTATGATCAACTAGCAAACATATTTACTAAGTCACTAAGGAGTCATCGGATTAACTACATATATAACAAGCTTGGTGCATATGACCTATATGCTCTAGCTAGAATCTATTAAAATCTTGTAAATATAGTAAATGTATATTTTATAATTATGTATTCTTCCCTATAAATTTGAATAACTCCGATGTGTCCTAAAATACACGGATTCAATATTTTCTCTCTCAACAGACAAGAATGATCTATAGTTAAGAGAAATGCCAATATATTCAACTATGTTTTCCTTTTCAAACAAGGATATCCAGGCTGATAAAGAATAAAAGCTTTAATCCAAGCTCCATTGTTAATAACAACCCTATTTGTGACTTGACTCTTTAAAGCAACAACAATAAAAGAAAATGACCCCAGATTTTATATACAGAAAATGAAATTTTACTATTAAAAAGGAGGAAAAGTACAGCTAATAAGGTGAATATGGTACAATGCATGATACAAATCCCTTCACCTTTATATAATTATTTATATTAATAAGAGTCAATGACTACAAAATGAAACTATCCTTTACTTTGGGTGCACTTTTGGTGATGGCAAATACCATAAAGCAAAGCAATTAAAGAAAGCTGCAGTAATTTGAGGTAGACAAGGATACCACAGAAAGAAATAATTAAAAATGTTTTATGACTTTTATCTAAACATACTCAGAAATTCAGAATAAACATGTTTCCACATGTCATCAGAAAAGTACTCAGCATGCAGAGATTTACACAAAGTAAACATAAAGTATTGCATTGTTCTACTTCTACGAGTCATGAGAGATACCAAACATAATTTATGCAATTAGCAAACAGACATAAATTATGCACACCTCAAACTTAGGTATATTTCTTCTAGTTCCTCCTTCAAATGCAAGCACTGGTAAAAATGCTAAAACTGGTCCTTTTATGTCCACAAGAAAGTTCTGCAAAACAATAACTTAAGATTTTTAATCAAACCATAAAAAGAAACCCAGGACTAGGTATGAAACAAGTTTAAATTATTTTCAAGTAAATAAAAAGGCTACAACAGTTGACATAGAACTAAGCAATTCACTCATTCTGTATTTCTCTGGTAAATTCCTATTAAATATCTTAAATAAAAATTTACATGCTATTGGTGAAGAATCTTAAGATAAAACCACCCTTGATTACCAGCAAATGCTTGTGTTTCTGTAGGCAAAAGCTAATGGTTTCAAGGAATGGCGATACCACCACGCCATAGCTAATTCTCAATTTAGTTCTCACCTCAATCCTCAATAATAACTTAATATAGTAGGTATATACTATAGAGCCTACCGGAGTCAACAAGAAAGTAAAGCAAAACTGAAAGACTAATAAGGATTGAAAGCTTGGACAACAAAAGTAGAAAACTTCCTTACATCTGATCTGGAGTCTACCACAATTCCAAGAACAGAATCTTCTGCATGGGGCACATACTGTACAAAACAACAAAATCAGAATATGGAAGAAAAAAGATAGGATTGTTTTGTTCCTCAGGGAAAACATTCAAATCCAACTCTGTATGTAACTATGTATACTGGAATGTAAATTACATAACTTAATTCAATGCTCAAAAAAGTTAAATAAAACTTATATGCATCAGGAGATAGTTTTTTGCCAGAATGCAAACTGCTATTAGTCACAACAGCAAGAATTTAACTCCCATATATGAAATAAAAATATGTACGAATTAAAAACAGAAAAAAGTGCACACACCTATAGCCTAATTTTGTGGCTACAATTGAAATTTTCCCTCATTCAAGAAGGCATAAAATAGACCCAAGGCTTAGCAAAAGGTAGTTCTACTAAAAATATTCCAAGAATAAATGTAAAATAAGCACATGCTTGATTTTAAGGCATATATTAATAGCTATTGCAGTAAATTCAAGGAACTCTGAGAAAGAGGCATATTAACCAGTAACACTGTAAAATCAACATTGTCATGGCAGTCAAAGCCATGCCTTTACACATTAATAGATAGATCACGACCAAACTATCAAACTCACCCTTTTCTGAGAATTTTCAACCCAGTATTTATTCGGCTTTGAAAATCTTAGCTTGCCAGCCTTCATTACAGAAATCACATCACAATCCTAAAAAATTGATGCAAGTGAGAATCCATTACTATTAACAGAATGAACAAAATGCAAGAACTATCATGCATTATTTCCTTTTTGCTTATAACATGCTAAATGAGGCGATGAATAAACAAATAAGAAATTAAGAACGACACCCTGAAATTTCAGTTAATGAAATTGAGTTTTGTATCACTTCCTCCCCAAACAAATATGTATACTTATGTTGACCAAAAGGATTTAAAATTTTGAGAGAGCTGAGCACATGAAGATATAAACACGGCATCCATCCATTCAGGAGTGTGCGTTCGTGTGTGCGCGTGCATGTACCCATTCATAGAACTACTAAAAGAAGTGAGAGACAGAAAGTAGAATATTAATGATTATTAAAACTGAAGACCTACCTGTCGTAGCCCACCTCCAAGTTTAATTGTCTGGTTTGTCATGTTAGATAGGTCAAGAACCACATCTCCAGGACACTACAACCCATGACATAAATTTCAAAAAAACAATGTTCAACGTTGTATCCATGGACACACAGATAAGTAAGGGCAAGAACAAATCACTCACCACTAATTGGTCTACTAAGTCTGTAGAGGATTTACTTTCCATTTACTGATGCAGAATAAGTGCCTCTTAAGAAGCTCCAACAACTTATTTGCAACTGCAAAAACCATTTAGCATCCAAAACTTGAAACCCTATGTAAAATGACTATTATTCAACGTATAAATTTTTGCAATAATAGAACAAGTCTTGTAAAGTATTTTAAGATCGTAGAAACACAATGAATAGCTATGCAAAGTTGGCAACAACATTGCCGTGTTGAGCGAGGACTGAAGAGATTATGGTACCTACAGCTTCCGGTGGCGGTTTCGGTCGGAACACTGGAAGCACGTTCAGTCTCAGCGCGGGTTAGGGACGCAACGTCAGGGATTCGCATCTATATGATTTTATAAACCCTTTCTTTTTTTCCTTTTTATTAAACAAACGACTTCGTTTTGATGTTTAAAAAATCATAACCTAACTTTACCCTCTCTTTTTTTTTTCAGTTTATCAAATTTGGGTTGAGTTAATTTATTTAAGAGTAAAATACAGATTTATTATTCAATTTTGTGTCTTCAATATATTAAAAAAAAACTTATTTTTTTAAAATTTATTATTCAATTCAACTACACTCGAGTTAGCTTATAAGTCTTAGGTTTAGGTTCACTGATTTGTATTGATTCACATGCACATTTAATCTTACAACTAGATTGATTATTTGTCACATTGATTAGTAATCTTTTGTATAACTAAAATACGAACGCAGGATATGTAAGGACAATGTTGTATTAAAAATAAATATGAATACAATACATTTTAAACAATCAATGATAAAAAGATTAGTATGTATATGTAGTAAATTATTTTATCACAAAACCTTTTCGTTATCAAAACATGAATCACAAAAGACGAATTTGTCAATTGTGAATCAAAAGGATTGAGTTGAATAAAATTGAAGTTTGGGAAGTATACTTTTAGTTTAATAAAGTCTAAGAATCAATTAAAATGAAATTAAAGATTAGGGCATTTGATTATAAAAGGGACAAAGTTTAGAGATCAATTGAGGTATAACTAAAGTTTAAGATGTTTATTTGTAAAAAAGGTAAAATTTACAAGAATTATGTAGTAATTCTCTTTTTAAATAACAAGAATACATTTTTTTTAATTTGTACTTTTAAATATGCCTTTAAGCATAATTTTTATGTAAAAAATTATCTAGTAAAAAACATTTTTATACAAGAGTAAAAAGATATAATTTAACTATATAATCATATATAATTAAAATTAATTTTTTTAATATTACATGTTTATTCAAAAAAAACTCATATATATATATATATATATATATATAAATTCCTATATTTTATATTTCAATCTTAAATATTTCAATAAAATTAATAATTAATATTTATTTATCTTACTTTTACATAAAAATAATTTTGTTATTTGATAAGTGGTTATTTAGATGTAATTTTTAAATGTGCTCATTTGTTTAAATTTTAAAAAATAGAAAAAATATAAAAGCATATATTTATATTTTAGAGATTTTATATAAAAATACAATTTATTTTTTTTTGTTTGGTTACGTTTTTAAAAGCACTTGTTTATTTTAAAAGGTAACTATAATTTTAGTTTTTTTTAGAAACTAAACTAATCAATTAAAATTTTCAAATAATAAAAAACTGATTTGTTTAGATTCTATTTATTTTCAAAAGCTTGAACAAATGCATTATTTTTTTAAAAGTGTTTTCAAAATAAAAGTAATTTTTCCAAAAATAAAATAAAATGAATCGAACGGACGTAGTTACGTGTAGAGAAGCGATTTTTGGTGCAAATATTGCTTAAATGTCATATCTAATATTTGACACAACACAAAGTAACATACAGGACTTTAATACCATGATTTCATAACAAGATTATAAATAAATAAATAAATAATCAATCTTGCATATAAGGAAGGGGTCAAATATCTTCAAATTTGCTTCTCTTCTACCCTTTTAGTTTATTATTTTTATGTTTCCCGTGGTTAATTAAATAGATTTGGCACCCAATTCTTTCAAAATATGAATCAATCATTTTTTTTTTCTTTTTTCTAATTCCCCCATTGATGAACTAACGCACTGCTGAATCAATTGTCATCAAGAGTGACAAGGGTAGGGATTTGGCCATGGTTAACAAAATCAATTTTATTTAATCGTAAGCTGCACAACACATGCTCAGGAAGTTCCTCTTGCTTTTGTGCCTGCAAAAGCATAACAAGAGGGATATTAGAAAATGGACAATGGCTCACATTTTTCTGCTGTGGAAAGAACAACTAGGAAGAACATTCTGTCATGTTACTTGTATAAATTTTATCTTTCAAGTGAGTTTGAAATAAAAATAAACAAAATAAGAAGCATAAGTAGCTAATTTATTATTTTAGGAATTATAATATTCTATCATGTTTACTTAACAACACTCAAATGATGAAACTAGTTGATAATATATACCTGGATAGTTAAGCCAACATCAAGTATTCCATGCTTTACACGGTCTCGGAGTGAATCAAGTCCTTTCCTCGATATATAGCTAAAGCGATGTATATCCAGGTCTATCTCAAAGTAGTTAGGTCCCTGTGATGAATATACATAAATAATGTGTAAAAATATAAGTGAACTTCATACTATATATGCTCAAAGAAATGTTAAGGGAAAAAAGAATTTCAGATATGCTATTGCTAGTTTGGAAGTTATCCAATCCAATATCAATATAAAATTTTATCACAGACACCATTAAGGGTGTCAAATGAGCCCCTTAATAGATGGAGGGATTCCAAGGTTCTATCATATTAGATCGAAACATTTTAAACAAAATAGCCAAAGGTGTATATAAAAATGTGAGTGCCATAAATATGTTAAGGATTTGCTATTTCATACATATCTTTAGCTTAGAAGTAGACAGATATTTTGTTCCAAACATGACATAAGTTTGTATATACCTTAAAGAAATCATGCTGAGGACGTGAAAGCACTGGTTTGCCATTGTAGGCATGTACAAGCTTCCTTTCTGCAGAATTCAGAAGAAGGTCCTCTGGATTAACTAGCCCAGCCAAAATTTTTAGCCTCTCTCTATAGGGAACCGTGCTTTCCTTAGCATACCCTTTCACCTTTTCCATCTCATCATCCATTAAGCTCTGTAAAACCAATGATGTCATTTAACTTGAGAAAAAAAAAAAATACTCAGGTAGAAGCTAGGAAACTGCAGCAAGATCAAATTGGAATTTCATTTTTTTTCACTAAGTTCAGAAAATTAGGAATTAAGAATGATTTTGCAATTTTAGGAAGGAAACACAAAAAGATAACAAGCATGTCATACTAAGAACGTATTTCAAAATTGTACCTACCAATTTCTAATACATACATATCTAGATAATACACTTGGGCTAACAAAATAAATATCTATGCACATCTTATGGTGAAATAAAACAAAAGAGGTTATTCTATTTAATAGGATTAATCCTTAAAAAAGTAAGTAGAATAGGACACAGGTTTTCCAAACAGATATGATGTTAACCAAATCAAGCATGTTATAAGCAGCCATTTTGTTTCTTTAAACTAAACTAGACAAGTTTGAAAAAAACAGAATTCAGTTAAGTTTCAAAACCCTTATATGAGTTGACAATTGCACTCCTTGATAATAATCAGTGAAACAGATTAGACCTTGTAGAAAACATAGTGTAACTAGTGATATGGAAAAGTACTGGAGTGCAAGGAAATGAATAATTTATGAAAGGATAGTTCAATCAAATGTTGAGATTATAGCCTTTAGGAAATGTAAGAAGAAATCTGGCAGCAGTTGAAGGATTTCTTTATTGTAAACTTGCAAATCTGAAAGTTTAATCAAGTAACTATTGACAAGAGGAAATACCTTAATCATCTCCTGAAAATTTGGTGAGATTTCTTTTTCAAAATTCTCAGACAATTTAAAATACAGCACAAGACTCAAGCCTTCCCCATTGGCTTCACCAAGGAACATGCTAGCAGCATATGTTGGCAACTGAAGCAAAATAAACATAATTAAACTATGTAAGCATTCTTTAATGTTGTTCAAGTAGAAAAACAACAGCTAAAGGCCCTCATCAAATTGAAAAATGAAAATGTTCAAGAGCAAACCTGTATATTAACAATCAGGAGGGACGGCATTGTCTCATGTTCTTTGACAACAGGAAGTTCAAGATGCTTAGCAATGTGATTTATCTTCCTTGGACAGACAAATAAATCAACACCTATTGGTATGTAAGGGCTGGAGTCAGGTGCAGGGCACTTCTGCTTATCTCTACACAAATTATTATCGTATACAATATCAATCTTTCAGAAGAAACAAAAGTAAAATCAATGGACTAACTAATGGATGAATATGTGCATAAAATGAGGGAAAAAATTTGACAAATACAATTCTCTAACATGCCTGAAAAAGCTTTCACCCCGAAGCTTGAACACTGAAGGTGAAACCACAGACCACGAACCAGGGAATGGCTTTTCTTGAGTTGAAATTGGAACCTGAATCCCAGCTCTAGGACGGTAAAGATATTTCTCAGATGAACCTGTCCATCCATATATTATTAGTATTATCATAATTCTGAAAAGTTTGGATATATTATTGATATGAAATTCCTAATGGTTTACTGCCTTAACAAGTTGAAATGATTTAGAAAACTAACTCACCATAGAGACGTAACAAATAGTGCAACACACATAATATCATGGACTGAACTATTATATAAAAACATTGAAAAATATTGAAAAATTTTAGAAGATAAAGTCTATAAAAAGAACATAAGGCCAAAACATTGAATAAAAACAAGGGAAAATATTACATACTGGGTACTTACATGATGGAGTTTTGTCATTTCCATCAATGGATGTCCTTTTAACAGAAAGCATGATAACTGTCGATTGCTTTGAGTTGTTTTCTTGAGTTTTTTCTCCATTTCTACAGTTACCTCCATCTATTTTGAGGTAGCTTTCATAGTACTCCTCATATTTACACCCTGAATCTACAAAGCAGGATGCACTTTCATACTGAAGTAACTGAGTATTTGGAACACTACCCAAAGCATTGGCCGGAAAGGGAAAACAATCTGACAATCATAAAGGAAGAAACAGATAAATTCCATGAACAATTACTAATTATGAAGTAAGCACTGGGAACTACAAAACATAAATGCTTCACCTCCATGCACACTACTGAAGTCATCATCTGAATCAGATTCTAGAATGCTAACCGAGTCAAACCATGCTTCTTCTTGTAATTTTCCTGCATAATATATATATGTATGCTCAGCATGCTTACAAAAAACCATAAAAATTACAAATGACCAAAGGACCAAAATGAATCATGATAATTTACTCACTTGTCACTAACTCTTACTTTCTCTAAGACAATCATTAATTAATACAACAAAAGTTAAGTATAGTTTCTCGTATTCTTTTAGTGTTATTCTCTAATAAAAATTAAAATTTTACCTTGATAACCTATGCCAACTTTAAATGCCGACCTTTATTGAAAAAATAATTTCAAAAGTCATGGAGAACTACACCTAATTTCTGTCAATACTAATAACACCTAAATAACTGCACCTAAGTTTTGTCTTAACACAAATCTCCTTATAGTTTTGCATTGCAGCAAGGAGAGGGGGGTTAAAAACATACCATTTGCATCAATTTGACTATGGCTATGATATTGAAGCTGCGTAAGATGAATCTTCATGCTTGAAACTTCTGATCTGCAAGTGGCTGAAGCACCCTTCTCAAAGTCCATGTGAACAAAGTCACTGAGAGAGAAGTCTCCCACACGGCTTCCAGCATTGCTAACCCTTTTCAAAGGCATATCAGGAAGTGCAGTGGGAATATTTCCCCTGCGCTTCCCAGATTTGTGTTTCTTTCTTTTGTGAGCACTGTCCTTTCGATTTGGATTTGAGGCACAGCTCCCAATTGTGCTGGAAGCTATTTTTTTCACTAATCCAGCCAACATTTTGTTTTTCTTATGGGGTGATGTATAACTATATATATCACAATAAAATAGACACAGGTTGTGTGTCTATGATTAATCTCTCCCAGAAGAAAGAACCTTGCAACCACACAAGCAATCAAATTTAGCATAAAATATGGAAGAACATACATAAAAAAGGAAAAGGGTGTGGTTATTGTTTATGTGAGGATATTTGAAAAATCAACCTAGGATACGTTTCAAAGAGCTTATAAAAAATCAGCTTATTTCAATAGATTTCATGATCAAATTTCAGCTATTACCCAAACGCACCCTTAATCAAATCGAGCAGCACACATATATGCATACCTTAAGCTCAAAAAATTAGCACTCTTAGAGTTCAACGTGCTGAACCAAGAGACGATGATTCACCTGAGATTGATTATCAGATGAATGTCATCGAGGCGATTACATAGCTGTTCCTGCACACCACGTTAATTTGAAGAAAAAAACCTGAATGAAGAAAACAGTAGTATAAATCAATACACATACCCTTCCAATATAAGAACAATATTTCTAATACCAAAAGTAAAGAAAGAAAATCAAAAGCATATTTGGTTTTTTATTGTTGTTATCACCAATTCCAAAACATGTAAATGAAAAGGTAATAATTAATTACTCGGTTTTTGGATTATCATTATGATATACCTCTCTTTCTTATACCTTATTTTCTTTTATACGTTTATTATTATTATTCACAGCATTATTTATCGTATCTTTCACTTTTTCTTTCTTTTATCGTGCACTCATCATTATCCTTGTTTTCTGACGTTAGATTAAATTCTTAACAAAAAAAAAAAAAAAACACAAATACAACAAGGATTTGGCTTGCAAGCGTAGACAAAAAAATAAAAATAAAATTGTGGAACAAAAGATAACGTGGCGAGGATTCATCATACACAACATTTCATACATGACATGAACAAAGACCTACAAACACGTGGTGAGTGTTGTAGGAGCAACCAATTAACGTGCATGAAACAACAGCATGATCAAATCACGTGAACTTATATGAGAGAAGCAACACGTTGATGAATAAGAAGGCATGCAATACCCGACATGCACATGCACGAAGGAAACAAAGCTTATAATAAAATGCAAAAGCGTTATACATATAATAAGGAATAATAAAGAGAATTAGGAACCTGGGTAAGGGTGGTGGAGGAGGTAGCATAAAATAAAAGAGGAACCGTCGTTCCCAGAAAGGAACTAAGATTCCTCTGTGTGTTTTTGTTCCTTTGCTTTGCCTTATTTGTGTGTTATTGAGGGATGAGAAGAAAAGAGAAAAGAGAAGAGAGAAGACAAGAGAAGACGGTTCCAAACAAAATGAAGAGAGAGAAAGAGAGACAGAGAAGATTTTCACAACTGCACCCACCCACCCAATTCCGCTCTATTCGGATCCTACTTTGTTGTCTGAGTCTTTATGCCTATCCTTTCAAATCTCTTTCCCTTTCTATTTCTAATCAATCAACTATAAATATATTCTTTTGCTTCATCACATGTTAAGGAACCACTCCCTTAATTATACTTTTTTTAACCCTCAAATAGTATTCATACTTATATGTTAAAAATACATTATGATATATTGGTAATGATATTTTCATGCTTTTTTAGTTTGATTTGTTAACAAGTATCATACAATATAAAACTAAAAGTGTGTTGTTATTAAAATTTTCAAAATAATTAGTTATAATATATATATATATATATATATATATATAACACTTTCTATTCCTGACATATAAATATTTTTTAAATAAAAAGGAATTTTTATTTATATAAAAATAAACCAAAATAATCAAACAAGAAAAAAAAAACTATGCGAAGAAGTAAGTTTTATTAGAGTCTCGGAAATTTGCTCTTTAATTCATAGGGAAAAAACGCATATTTTATGTGTTCCAATGTTATGTGTTTAGACTTAAATGGGAGAAGAACTCTAAAATAAACTAATCAATGATATATTTACTATTTAATATATAAAAGATTGTTATCAGCTTTTTAAAGTAATTTTAAATAATTAAAATAGGCAAATTTTATTACAAATTATTAGTTTTGTGTAAACGAATTAATGTAAAGCATGGAAGGTCACAATCATGGCAGCGTAGCAATACTTTCAGTAGCTAATAACGGGTGCACATCTGGTATGCAGCAGGTAAGCGACAGGACTTTTGCCTAAATGATAATTTTTAACTAACACATACATAATCCCAAAAAGAGACCTTGCATTTAAATGGAAAATAGTAGGAATTACATTGATCTTGGGAAAAATAATAATAATCGACCTATTTGTGAAAGTGTTTTGTTATAATCAACCATAAGATTTAGTTTTCAAACTAATTTGATCGACCCATCACCTGATTAAGCAAATTCAATATATAATGTAAACTCAAAGGATATTTGCAAATATATATTTTTTTTCATACATACTAAATTTAAAATTCAAAGGCTACAATATTATTTTAATGTTTAGGCGAATGGAAAATGTCATGATAATAATTATATATGCCATTATGTATATGTAGGCAAAGAAAGTGTAGCTAACTAAGAGGTCCTGTCCCTTAAACAAATTTGTCTGATGGCTCTGCCACTGTTTTGTTATAATATTTGGTGCATTTGAATTGAAATAAGAAGAACAAATGAATGATTGAATGTGTCCTAAGTAACAAGGACATAGCAGGATATTAAGTCAATATTCTTGCCTATCATACCTAACAAATGAAGAAATAAACAATACTATAGGTTATGAAGTGCATTAATGGAACTTAACCAAACTACTTTGCAGAAAGGCTTTCCTATTTAATGTCCCTGGTTTATTTAGCTTTTAACCAAGCAATTAGTCAAAATGTTTAATTAGAATGGCATGCATTCGTGCACATTGTAGAATGGTTTTAATTCATATAACACTTTAATAATTTATGTGGCTTGTCAAATGTCAATGTTGTATGAAAATGGCATCAAGAAAAAAGGAAATTATGACAATTGCAAACAGACAGGGCACAGCCGCTAACAACTACGTAAATTAATTAAATATTAACCACAATAATCCCAAACATCTTTCTTTAACCTTTTGTAAGTTATTTTAGACTTTCTAGACCAAATCAGAAGAAAAAGCTGCTTTGCCTAACAATCTAAAAGCCCTTTTCAAATGATACACAGTTAAATTATTGTTTAAGAATCATAAAGCATCCCCAACAACAATCAAGTTATGGGTTTTCCAATAAAACACATTTCACCAAACTAATCATTGATTTAGGCACTCAGCTACTATCAGCAATAACAAGATTCCACTAAAAGACCCTGTCTCTCGTGATAACTCTTTGATTATTTTACACCAGTTCCACTTCAACAACCTCCATTAGGAAAGAAAAATAAAACATAACATACTTAAAAACTTCGGAAACCAGATTGCACAATCATATGAATAAGGGTTGTACCAATATAATTATCTTTGTTTTGCAATAAAACTATATATCTTGTGTAATTAGTGTGCTTTTCTGGTTTAATTAACAGTGCATCAAATTGGGATCTCAAGTGGTAAACAAGTCTAAAATCTACGATTAATTAAGGAGCCTTTATAATAGGACTCAAGCCCATGGAAAATCACTTGTGAGAAATAACAGCCTAGCTTTGATAGGGAGAATCGATGAACCTCTTACAGAAAGAAAAAAAGCAGTGTATTGAATAAAAATTGCATAAATTTAATAATCATGTTATAGTAATTGGTGGAATAAAATCATATTAAACAATGTGCAAGATTAATTATATTTTAAATTAAGTAAATCTCTCTCTCTATAGATATAAAATATGATTTTATACGTTTAATGATCATCACAAATTAAATTATTTTCTCAACATTAAATTTAATTGTATGCATATTGGTATTATTAATTATGTTTAGGGTAGGCTATGGTCTCTAATTATTTTTCTTTCCTTACAAGTATCTATAAATTAAATTACAGATAGTTAGACTTGTAATACATATATTAATTGTTCTTTTAATTCAAATAGTAAAAGAATAAACTAAATCATAACTTTCTTTTTTGTCAAAAACACTAAAACATAACTTAAGTTGGACTGCTTTATACTTCTTAACTTATAGGCAATGTTTTTTAAAAATAACAGACCCAACAAAAGCCCCAAAAAGCACCTCTTTTATGGACCAAGAACAAAAAGCCACTTCTTTTAGGGGTTTCTCCTCCTTTTGTGATGTTCTTTTTTCCTCCTTAATGTGGAGGCTCATTTTCTATTTTGAAGATTTCCTTTAATATTTTTTTTATCTTTTTTTCTTATTTTCTTTTACCCTATTTTTCTCTTGTCATCTTCTTTTTCATCGCATTCTTTCCAACAACAAAACTACTAGAAAATTCATGCTTTCAATTTTTGTTGATTTGGCTCAATGTTAAAGCTTTATGCTAATTTGTAAAAGAAAATATAAATCTTTTATGATAAGCCAGCTCTTTGTTGTGGGAATGTGTAATTTTATGATTTTATCTTATTTTTACTTTATTATATAACATTATTACATCCGAGACAGTGATAAGGAACTTGGATGATTATAAAAGAAAATTATATTCAAATATCTCCCACTATTTAAAATTTATGTACAAAATTCAAGTATAATACCTATAATATTTTAATATTATTGTTTAATTTAAGTTATATATAATTTTTACTTCAACAGCTTATATTATAATACTCCGCATTAAATAGGGTTGGTTCAAGTCAAAATAAATCTTTAATTTTAATTAAAAATAAGAGTAAAAATATTTAAAATACCTCACCTAATTTTTGTTCAAAAAATAACATAGATTAAGAACCCAAAAATATTGTGAACGTAGCCTATTTTGGTACCCGGTTTTTTAATTTTCAGTAAGAACAAATGTTTTTGGGCCTTTACCGTATG